GGCGCCACAAGTACGCTATGAGACAACACAATAAGTGTAAGGGGCCCAAAACTGTTCAACTGCCTCCCAGCACACACAATGGGAATTGCTAATAGAATCCCGGCTGCCTTCAAGAAGGTGCCCCTTAAGGGGGGTTCCTTGACGCTGGTGAGGGGCTCCTGATCTAGAGAATTGAATCTGTGCTCCAGTTCCCTGAATTGACCCTGAACACCTTCCATTCCCCATCCCACCAGTCATACAGAATCAATAATTTCAAATGATGTTAACTACCTGGAATTACCTGAAGAGGGTTTCGGGGGGTCAACGCCCCCGCGGCCCGGTCTGAGACCAGGCCTCGTGGTGGGTCAGGGTCTGATCAACCAGACCCTACAAATTTGCATCCACATAGCCTAAAACTGTAGATTGTCATCCTCATATGATGCGTCAGTGTTAAAAATTTGAAGTCGATCAAATGAGGCATTCTCTAGTTACTGAATGGGAATACCACAATTTGTTTAATAAAATTTGCAAATTAGGACCTATGCGGCCCAAAAACACTTGAGTCCATTCCGTTGAGCAAATCACATCAGCGCTGAATGTTTAAGCTGACCAGAAGAAGCATTCTAGTTATCTGCATGCAATAGAATACTTTAGTTTTTCACTACGTCTGTATATTAGTAAATTTGTAACTACAGAGCCTGAACTTACAGAACATCCTTTTCATAAGAAGCATCACCCATTTACAACTAAAGCAATTTCAATAGGAATTGTGAAGGTATTACATGAACAAATAATGCGATACCAACCTAGGATACACCAGTATGGAAAGGCTTTCTCAAGTTATCACATGGAACCCAAAATTGAGAATGGTGTAACACTAGCCAGTTGCACGAGCCTTTTCCTGCTTACATACAGGCTACTATAGCGTAGGATATTTGAAGTCGGTCGGATTAGGCGTTCTCAAGTTATAAACAAAAAACAATCAAGAAACCACTAAGATACAGACCACTTTGGGGATAACCTTAAAAATATAAGAGTTTAAGAATACACTAACCCCGTGTAAATTATTGACGGCATCCATTTGAAAGATGTAGTAATTAATGGTCAAATTACTTTATTATAGCTGCCATGTAAGATACCGAGAGACTGTGAAAGAGGTCGGCTTGTGTCATGCATTAAGGATGATTAAGGACCTAATATAAGTCCTGTCCTCTTTACTAGCTGTGCACAAGGTATAAAAACAGAGATGCGAGGCGTGAAAGTTTACTATAAACCTCTTATGCAGTCGACAGAAAACAACCATGTCCATGTGCTAATCAGATATAATCTGTAAAAAGAAAATTACCCAGAGTGATACATCGCACACTTGTTTCTTTTATAGCTAATACATTGTAGTGAAAAAGAACTACTGAAATGGCTTGACGTGCAACTTGCTGGACGTAATAAGACCTTGACTATAAGAGTAACACTCAGTTCACCAGCAAGAGTCCTTGACACAGTTATAAATAACTCTTCTTTAACTCCAGATACAGTACAACGTTAACGTTGTAAAGAAAATAGCCCAAGAGAAGTCACGATAATTTAAGCTGAAGCATTTAAATGTTGCCATTTTAACATTCAGTAGTCTCATCCAGGAGCAAGTGAATTTAAATAAACAAATAGATATATACTATAGACCTCAATAACAGCTCTTGCTCTAAAAAGGCAGTAAATTATAATACTGATGTACTGTACATGTTTATGAGAGTACTTAATGTAGTCTAAGTTTATTCAGGTACAGGTACACATAAATACAGTTACACAAATTATCATACATAGCAGCATATGAGTAGATTAAACAGAATAACCCCTCCTCCCCCCCCCCCAAAAAAAAAATAGTGACTAATTTCCATTGGGATCCTTGTCTCAAGCTGTGATGGTTAGACAGGGTTTATGGCTGTGGTCTGCCAGGCTGCTGTAATTGTCTAAATATTGCTTATTACCAAAACTGGTTACACTTGACAGTGTGAGTACTCTGATTTATGTCTTGCAAGACTAGTGCAAGGACTATTAAACGTCCATCACGCGGGAGTTTTGTTCCTTAAACATCACGAGTTTTTCTTTCAATCCCATTACACACGAGGGTTTCCCTATCATATCCTGCTACAAAATCCGGTTTTCCTCCCATATTACATCACACAGGATGGGTGTCCTGTCATATACCATCACACAGGATGGGTGTCCTGTCATGTACCATCACACAGGATGGGTGTCCTGTCATATACCATCACACAGGATGGGTGTCCTGTCATACACCATCACACGGGATGGGTGTCCTGTCATACACCATCACACGGGATGGGTGTCCTGTCATACACCATCACACAGGATGGGTGTCCTGTCATACACCACCACACAGGATGGGTGTCCTGTCATACACCATCACACGGGATGGGTGTCCTGTCATACACCATCACACGGGATGGGTTTCCTGTCATACACCATCACACGGGATGGGTGTCCTGTCATACACCATCACACGGGATGGGTGTCCTGTCATACACCATCACACAGGATGGGTGTCCTGTCATACACCACACGGGATGGGTTTCCTGTCATACACCATCACACGGGATGGGTGTCCTGTCATACACCATCACACGGGATGGGTGTCCTGTCATACACCATCACACAGGATGGGTGTCCTGTCATACACCACACGGGATGGGTGTCCTGTCATACACCATCACACGGGATGGGTGTCCTGTCATACACCATCACGGGATGGGTGTCCTGTCATACACCATCACACAGGATGGGTGTCCTGTCATACACCATCACACGGGATGGGTGTCCTGTCATACACCATCACACAGGATGGGTGTCCTGTCATACACCATCACACAGGATGGGTGTCCTGTCATACACCATCACACAGGATGGGTGTCCTGTCATACACCATCACACGGGATGGGTGTCCTGTCATACACCATCACACGGGATGGGTTTCCTGTCATACACCATCACACGGGATGGGTGTCCTGTCATACACCATCACACGGGATGGGTGTCCTGTCATACACCATCACACAGGATGGGTGTCCTGTCATACACCACACGGGATGGGTTTCCTGTCATACACCATCACACGGGATGGGTGTCCTGTCATACACCATCACACGGGATGGGTGTCCTGTCATACACCATCACACAGGATGGGTGTCCTGTCATACACCACACGGGATGGGTGTCCTGTCATACACCATCACACGGGATGGGTGTCCTGTCATACACCATCACGGGATGGGTGTCCTGTCATACACCATCACACAGGATGGGTGTCCTGTCATACACCATCACACGGGATGGGTGTCCTGTCATACACCATCACACAGGATGGGTGTCCTGTCATACACCATCACACGGGATGGGTGTCCTGTCATACACCATCACACGGGATGGGTGTCCTGTCATACACCACACGGGATGGGTGTCCTGTCATACACCATCACACGGGATGGGTGTCCTGTCATACACCATCACACGGGATGGGTGTCCTGTCATACACACGGGATGGGTGTCCTGTCATACACACGGGATGGGTGTCCTGTCATACACCATCACACGGGATGGGTGTCCTGTCATACACCATCACACGGAATGGGTATCCTGTCATACACCACACGGGATGGGTGTCCTGTCATACACCATCACACGGGATGGGTGTCCTGTCATACACCATCGCACGGGATGGGTGTCCTGTCATACACCATCACATGGGATGGGTGTCCTGTCATACACCATCACACGGGATGGGTGTCCTGTCATACACCATCACACGGGATGGGTGTCCTGTCATATACCATCACACGGGATGGGTGTCCTGTCATACATCACACGGGATTGGTGTCCTGTCACACACCATCACACGATGGGTGTCCTGTCATACACCACACGAGATGGGTGTCCTGTCATACACCATCACACGGGATGGGTGTCCTGTCATACACCATCACACGGGCTGGGTGTCCTGTCATACACCATCACACGGGATGGGTGTCCTGTCATACACCATCACACAGGATGAATCTTGTGTCACAATCTGTCACACAAGGTGGATTCCCTGTTATATTTCATCACATATGATGGGTTGCTTGTCATATTCCATTACACATTTAAATGTTTATATCCTTCTTGGGAAATTTATTCAAATTATTAAGTCTGAGGGTTAGTTACCCCAGGATAACCCAAGAAAGACAATCAATGTAGCTTATTTTCACTGGGGTTCTTTTGGTCCTCTCTTCCCAGGATACGATTCACAAGTCGGCTGATACCGATATACAGTACCTAATTCCTGTTGGGTGAAAAGGAGCAACAGGTGTAAGGAAACATGTCCAATGTTTCCACTCGCCTCAGTATCGATCCCGGGCCCTTCGATTGTGAGCCGATGGTACTACTATTACTACTACTGAGATCTATTCAACTTCTTTTAAGGCTTGAGACTCGTACGTTTTTATCGTAATAAAATCGGGAGAACCTCCCCAAAAATAAACGTATTTTGAGCATTTTTTTTAAAATAGTCTAGTTTTAATTAGGAACGCTGTGAGTAAAAATGTGTACATTCAAAGGAGTCGAGCAGCCCTGATGATGAATCATTTCCTGAAGATAAGTAGTGGTGCGACCCTCAGCCCCACCCATATACACCACTACTGTACTTCCCACACCCTTCATCCTCATATCTTACTCTCTCCTACAAGGACGAGGTAGGAATATTTCTTGATCACAGGTGCCTTATGAGTTGTCAAAAAAAATGTAACCTCTTATATAAATCTTAGAAGCACAAAGGCAGTGTACCTACATGTAACACAAAACAAAAACAAAAAGACATCTCAATGAATGCTTCCCTTCATGCGTATTCGTACTCTTCTGGGTATTACCCAAAAAAAAAATGCCACACTCTCTCCTCACACAAGATAATGCTCCGCTCTTCTTGTTTACAGAATGAAACATTTATTTTATATTTTTAACTAGTTAAAACTAACCTTTCAGAATGCAAGCGTGTAGGTGAGGTAGGTATGAGTGGTGGGAGAGTGGGAGATAACTCTACTGGCCGCCAGCCACTGAATCACTGATGGGTCACGAGTGGCTCTAAGCAGCCGGCACACATCACACTCAACTCAACCCAACATTTACATCCCATCAGCATTTTCCGCAACTTGCAAATCAACCTGCTCTACATATTAAATAAAGTTATTGGTTTCTAAATACATCAGTGTATTTGCTGAGGCCGTAATACTTATGTATTACGAGGGGAAAGGGTGAGCCTGTGACAAGTGCCTTGTGTACTCCCTGCATTGCTGCCTCTCAGCTCACGTTACATTACGTCCTATTTCTCTTAACACTGGCCTCCTTACCGTCTTTGCTCCAAAAAATTTACTTCTTTGTAACCTAAACTGAATACATCAATGTGAGGCATTTATGTAAATGACTTTCTTGAGCTTGAGTTCTCTTAGCTGCGAGAAGGATGCCTTGTTGCTAGAGAAGGGGCTTTTGATTCGAGGAACTGAAGCTGTCCTACCCTAAGATTAAACCTAATTACCTCCTGCTCCATGAACCTGAGCTCTTCTCCAGGCTGAGGGACTGACCACCTCAAATACTTTTTCTCGAAGGTTGATGGACTGATTACATCATCTTCATTTCATTTTTACCGCTCCCTTTGTATTTGACTGAAGAAGTCTACTGGGTAGGCGAAATGTTTCATCAATAAAGACATCCAACTGTTGCACATGTGTCTTAATCTTCGACTTGTCGGTATTTTATAAAAATTTCAACAATAATCCGGATTATTAGTACATAGCTGGTATTTAGCCTTAATTAGCACGTGTAGTAGACAAGTTTTAAATCTAACAAACCACTAACTAAACTAGATGGAGCGCATTTTAAAACTAAAATGTATGTAGGTCGCACTCAACGGCCTCACAGATCAAAGGGCCTCTCGTTTTTCTGCAAAACTTCATCAGTCTCTCTCACCATTGATATGTGATCAAGTTATGATTATTTATGCTATATCACCTGTCTTACATTTTAAGTTACCCATATTCAGTGTTTTTTTTTCCTATCTGACATATTCCACAGTTTTCGAGTAGTATTTATTTCATGAGAAACTCATGCTTCACTCCGAGTTGTTGATTTTGCGTGCACTGTCCTGAGGGGACAAGACTTATAGGATCTGGGAATGAAATTCATTTAGTATTAATTAGGTATCACCAGGGGCGGTTCTGCTGAGAAACTAATGAAGCTTAAGCTTCAGGGCCTCTAATCCAGGAGGGGCCCCAAAAGAGGCTTTAGTCCCTATTGCTATGAGAAGGGTTGCGAAAGGGGCCCCATAACAGTTCAAGCTTCAGGCCCCCTGAAATGTAGGTCCGCCACTTGGTATCACACTATGTTATCCTAGTTTATGTGAAATAAATTTTTTTTAATCATTTGCACTACATTCTACAGATATAATATTTGTTAAGTGAACCTACGAAGATCTGAAAGCAGAAATGGGACTTGTAAATATTGGTATTTTACAGCTTCAGACACCTCCAAATGTATTAACTTGCTAGATAAAATAACACCAACTTTGTAACATGTTCACAGTAAGTTTTATCATTATTCTTACAGTCACATACAGCCCCTAGGGAATGGGAGGCAATCAGGTTTGATACAAGGAAGGGGAGGGGAGCCCATTTCATTATAATAAGAGCCCTTCACCTGAGGGGAAAGAAAAGATAATTCCAATTCCTGGGACCAAGTCCTTCAGTTCCTGGGATCAAGAGTCCTTCAATTCCTCGGATCAAGGGTCCTTCAGTTCTTGGGATCAAGGGCCCTTCAATTCTTGGGATAAAGGGCCCTTCAGTTCTTGGGATCAAGGGCCCTTCAATTCTTGGGATTAAGGGCCCTCCAGTTCCTGGGATCAAGGGCTCTTCAATTCCTGGGATCAAGGGCCTTTCAGTTCTTGGGATCAAGGGTCCTTCAGTTCCTGGGATCAAGGGCTCTTCAATTTCTGTTATCAAGAGCCCTTCACTACCATCAATCATCCACCGTGACAACCCATCGTTTACTAACGTTCGTCAACAGACGACGCCGACGTTACTCAACCATCCTCTAATTCGTTTAAAAACATTTTTAAATTAGGACAGTCTGAGTGACAAGATTGTGGGAGCAAAAACATATCATTAATCATAAATAAGCAAATTGCAAACAGCAGCCGTGATACCTCTGACAACGAAGTGACGCTTGTCACTGTGTGTGATTATGGTGACGTGTAGGCTACACATGCCATTTATTTCACAAATGTCAACACTTGACAAGTACGTGATAAGAAGTTCCCACAGGAACGTGAGTCATCATTCTAGTGTGAAGAAAAATGGCTTTTCCATGCATGAGTTTATGGGAGAGGCCATATGTGTGTGCTCCAGCTGTATCAACATCCTGAAGCAGTAACACCTATCCTCTCATGCCCTGGCACACCCGTCCACGACCATCTACACCTATACACATCCACTCACACAAACCAGTCCACACCCTACACCGACACGTCCACCTACACCCACGCATACCCACCTACACCTATGCACACCAGTCTACACCCACGCACACCCACCGACACCTATGCACACCAGTCTACACCCACGCACACCCACCTACACGTCGCACATCAGTCTACACCTACGCACGCACCCATCTTCACCAACTCACACCCAATTTCATATTACACTGAAGCCACTGAGACATTTCACAAATTAAAATCTCATACACAAATAACCCGCACATACGAAGAGGAGCTTACGACGACGTTTCGGTCTGACTTGGACCGAAACGTCGTCGTAAGCTCCTCTCTTCTATGTGAGGGTTATTTGTGTATCGTTCCAGTCACGGTATTGTGCTATCGTTCCAGTCACGGTATTGTGCTTTTGTCTTTATAAAATCTCATATAATAGTTAATAAATCTAGCTCATGCAAAACAAAGTGGTCTCAGAATTTCGCACACCTCTGAACCAACAATGACGCTATATGCTATTTCTTGTAGGATTTATATGGACTTTGGGCACTGATACTAGCACAGTCTAGGTAACAAATCAACCACAATTAAATATCCAACACTAGGAACTATCCCACTCCCGCACTATTTCAATGACCAGTTTTGAGAATTTTTTATTTTATTTAAAACTTTATATTTCTTGACTGGGAATTTAGAGTCTAATGACTTCTTAAGAGGTAGTTCAAGATTATTTTTTAAAGCAGTTTGTTACAGAACCTACAAGGGAAAGTAACCTGTTTAAGGTTAATTTTTTTATGTACTTAAAGCAATACAGGTGTTATAGGAAAATCCACACAGTGAACAAGAATACTCAGAATGTGTTGCAATCCTTGGAATTTTACCTGGTAGATGATTTTCAAGAGATTTGCAACATAATGATAGGGAATATACAACAATGTATAATCATTAACTATCAGGGAATACCATGAAACATGACAGTGTGACTTGCTGTTTCTTCTTGGAATTGTTTGTGTTTTTCTACACGAGTCTGTGTGAGGAACATTTTGTAGCTTAGCGGTGTTGAGTACAGAGTATGTGGAGGTTACTTGTGCCTGACGCAGTAAAAGAGAGAAGTATTCCCGGTGTCCAAGCACTATCAAATAATATAGTTTTATGAAATTATCTTCAACAATATTGCATTGTCTCCCATATGTCTCTGTATTTCCGTCTGTCTCTCACTCGCTTTCATTGTCAGTATTTCTGTCACTACGGTAGATTAGGTCAGTATTTGTAGCTACAAGAGCAGAGCTATTTATGTCCGTGGTGTCTTGTCTTCAATAATTCATTCATATATATATATATATATATATTATATATATATATATATATATATATATATATAATTATATATATATATATATATATATATATATATATATTATATATATATATATATATATATATATATATATATATATATATATATATATATATATATATATATATATATATATATATATGTGTGTGTGTGTGTGTGTGTGTGTGTGTGTGTGTGTGTGTGTGTGTGTGTGTGTGTGTGTGTGTGTGTGTGTGTGTGTACTCACCTATTTGTGGTTGCAGGGGTCGATCCACAGCTCCTGGCCCCGCTTCTTCGCTGATTGCTACTAGATCCTCTCTCTCCCTGCCCCATGAGCTCTATCATACCTCGCCTTAAAACTATGTATGGTTCCCGCCTCCACTACGTCACTTTCTAGGCTATTCCACTGCCTGACTACTCTATGACTGAAGAAATACTTCCTAACATCCCTTTGATTCATCTGAGTCTTCAACTTCCAATTGTGACCTCTTGTGTCTGTGTCCCTTCTCTGGAACATCCCGTCTTTGTCCATCTTGTCTATTCCGCGCAGTATTTTATATGTCGTTATCATGTCTCCCCTGACCCTCCTGTCCTCCAGTGTCGTCAGGCCGATTTCCCTCAACCTTTCTTCGTAGGACAATCCCCGTAGCTCTGGGACTAGTCTTGTTGCAAACATTTGCACTTTCTCTAATTTCTTGACGTGCTTGACTAGGTGTGGATTCCAAACTGGTGCTGCATACTCCAGTATGGGCCTGACGTAAATGGTATACAGAGTCTTAAACGAATCCTTACAGAGGTATCGGAACGCTATCCGTAGGTTTGCCAGGCGCCCGTATGCTGCAGCAGTTATCTGATTGATGTGCGCCTCAGGAGATATGCTCGGTGTTATACTCACCCCCAGATCTTTTTCCTTGAGTGAGGTTTGCAGTCTTTGGCCATCTAAACTATATTGTGTCTGCGGTCTTCTTTGCCCTTCCCCAATCTTCATGACTTTGCATTTGGCAGGGTTAAATTCAAGGAGCCAGTTGCTGGACCAGGCTTGTAGCCTGTCCAGGTCTCTTTGTAGTCCTGCCTGATCCTGTGTGTGTGTGTGTGTGTGTGTGTGTGTGTGTGTGTGTGTGTGTGTGGTGTGTGTGTGTGTGTGTGTGGTGTGTTGTGTGTGTGTTTCATTCCATTCATGTACCAGTCTGTGAAAAAACTTTCCTGGTATTCCATTTGTTCTCAGTTTACAACTGTTGTCTCTTGTTATCACTGCTGCGGGAACGAAAAAAAATTCTCTATCTAATCTTTCATGTCCCTTTATGACCTTATCCAGTATGTTGTTATCGTGTCTCCAATCTTCAATCGGCCAGAGTGGGCATCTTATGTCCTTCCAGCCTTTTATTATAACTCATATTGTACCTCTGGTAACTATTTAGTAGTTCTTTGTACTCTTCCTAACTTATCCAATCTTTTCTGGCTTGGTTGAATGAGCGGCACCAAGAGTGACATTACTCTCTCATCCCACAGCCACAGAAGCTTTCGTAGTACACCTCTTCTCATACCCTTCAAAGCCAGATATTCCATAAACCCAAAATAACTGTAAGAAGCTTCTTTTCTTATATTCAACAGTATTCATTATGTTACACAAGTGCACCGTGTGTTGTGTTTTCATTTTGTGTGTTTCTACACGCATAAGAAGTTTCTGCATCATACTGGCAGCCAAATGTATGGTCGGGTGTGGGCTGTTTTATTTTGTTATCTAGAAGTATCAAGATCTTGAAGTATCTAGGTGGGGAAGGGGGAGGGGGAGTATCAATCAGACATTGTGATGAGTGTTCACAATTGCATGGTTATTTTTTGGGGGGGTTGGAACCTGGGGTTTGGTGTATGTTATCTTTTCTATTTGTTCACGTCTTTGGAACTGTGTTAAGCATAACTGTGCACCATGTACTGTGTTTTTTTCAATATAAAAAAACAAAATAAGTCGTAATGAACGACTGTCATTGAAGAAACAGAATTTTGGGCGAGGACTGGAATTGGGGTTTTTGTACTTACCAAGCCCAACACTAACCACTTAGTTCCGTGGTTGAGTGATAACAGATCTCTCAGTCATGTTTATTTATTATAAAGGAGTGTTATAATTCTAGCTTGTAACAGATTATAGATAACTATAATAGTAATTATTTTTTCTGCGTCTCGTGGCCCGGTAGACTACGCCCTCGTTTCGCACATTGAGTGTCAGTGGTTCAGTCTCCGGCCGGGTGGTAACATTGGACGTGTTTCCTTACACCTGCTGTCCCCGTTCACCTAGCAAACAAGTAGGTACCTGGATGTTAGATGACTGGTGTAGGTGGCATCCTGGGGGACAAGACTGAAGGACCCCAGTGGAAATAAGAGAATCGTCGATGACGCACTGACTTTCATGGGTTATCTTGGGTGGCTATCCCTCTGAGTTAAAAATTCCAACAAAAATCTTATCTTTCTCATAGGTTGTAGGTCTTGCCCTCGTTTGGGATCGACATCCGGTGGTGTAGTGCGTCCCAAGACGATTGATGGCGCCAGCATGGGTTGTATGTGTTGTGTATCCTGTTGATGTTTTCCTGCTTATATGTGTGCCTCACTTGTTGCTTCATTGTTGTGTCTTCTGCTTTACTCTCTCATCGTCTTCCATCCATTTATACCACATTCTCTCCCGTCTGCTACCCCACCCTAACCCCCCCCCCTTTTCTCTTTCTCGAAGTAGCTAATTACATGTGATGAGTTCTGGGTATTTTTGTTGACTATAGATAGATATATCGCAGAGTCCATCGAAGTGACAAATTTCCACCTACATAGCCTAAATATACAAGATATCCGGGGAAGCACCTGGCAAGGTATTACTCAGTGTTTGAGAAATGGGGGTAATTACTGTAGGCTTGATCCAGGGAAGAGAAAGCAGCTCTGATTCCTCAGATCATAATTCCTACACCAGCGTCAAGGAAACCTACCCTGGAAGGGTTGAGGCTTAACAGCTGGGCTGTGTGGAGATCATCATTTACATCCTGTCTCACACAAGAATGTCCCTCTTAAGTTTGTCTAGTAACCAAGTGATCTCTTATTGTATCCATTACAATTTTCAATTTAACTTTGACCTCTTATACTGTCCAGTCGATCATTATTTAATTTTTGCCATAATGTTCAGTCAAATTTGTGTCCAGTGAATTATTAATCACAATCAAATTCTTCAGTATCATCTGTTATACAGTTTAGTGATAAACAAGCAAAGGCAGCTTTTGTTTATGAAAATATTGCATTAAAATATTTAACCTCTATAATTATGAATCATTCTACACAATTGAGTCATACACTTATAGACAGAATTTTTTGGGCATTTGAATTTACTGATAAATCTCCTCAAACACAGTACTGGAAAACAGAATTTTGCCATATAATTTAATAAAGAGCTTACTTTTGTTATTTATATTGCTCCTTATAATCTCAAGAATTCTATTAATAATATTTCATAAACTTTAATATAACACTGCTGTCTTGGCTTCAGACTCTTGATAACCAAAATGTTCGGGTCTTTTGCTCATCCGGTAGTCAAATTCTTCACAGTTGTCGAGATAATTTTGATTCTCAAATAATAGACTATTTACATGTCCACAAGAATTGCATCCAGGCACTCCCACCACAAAATTAACTTTTCCAAATCAGTAGACCCTCAGAGGATTAATAATCCAAAATAACACAAGAAAGACGAGCAGTGTGGCTTATTTCTGCCGGGGTAGCACCTAAGTTTACCTGGAGAGGGTTTCGGGGGTCAACGCCCCCGCGGCTCGGTCTGAGACTACGCCTCATGGTGGATCAGGGTCTGATCAACCAGGCTGTTACCGCTGGCCGCACGCAAGCTGACGTACGAACCACAGCCCGGTTGGTCAGGTACTGACTTTAGGTGCCTGTCCTGTGCCTTCTTGAAGACAGCCAGGGGTCTATTGGTAATCCCCCTTATGTATGCTGGGAGGCAGTTGAACAGTCTTGGGCCCCAGACACTTATTGTGTTCTCTCTCAATGTATTCGTAGCGCCCCTGCTTTTCATCGGGGACATGTTGCATCTCCTGCCGAGTCTTTTGCTTTCATAGGGAGTGATTTTCGTGTGCAGGTACTCAACAGGATGACACCCACAGCAGCCGACTAACCTCTAGGTACCTATTGATTGCTAGGGTTACAAGTGCAGCAGCTGTAATGAGACTTACCCTTCTGTCTCAGTGTTCGGAATAAAAAGGTCACAGAAAATGTCATAATTTTGGCTAGGAAAGAAAAAGTCACCGGAAAAAGTCTCATTTTATTTAAATACCATAAACAAAGTAATAAAACAAAAAATATTTCAAAGACAATTTATATATGATGGCATTACATATACGTAAAAAAAATAAAGTTTTATTCAATTTCTTAAGCAAAGTAAGGCAATGAAACAAAAAAAAATTAGGCTAGGTTAAGTTGTGATTTTTTTTTCTTGGTTCCTCTGTCTCACACCACCTAGAGGCACGTCGAGCATATTAGTCTAAATGTAAACATAATTAACCCACAATTATATACACCCAGAGATGTATGTCTATCACTGCATATATATTGCGTGTTTATTTTAATCCCTATCACTGAAGTAGGCTTCACTGGTGGTTACATGCAACCTTACCAACCCTCGTGTAATTAATAGGCTTTAAATGTAATTAATCAACCATGGTCACTTTGACTTTTTTTTATTATCCTAGGTAATTTACACCTGCTATTATGCACAACAACAACAGGGGGGGGTGATAGATCTAGGCCTTTCGTGTTGCAATCAACACATCAGGAGCTTGCAGTGTTGCAGATTATTATAATCAAAACGCAGTGTTGCAGAAAAGAGGAGGTCCAAGCAGATACGAACACAGAGAGCGCCTTTCGGAGCAAAGACGCTCCCTGTGTTCGTATCTGCTTAGACCACCTCATTTCTGCAACACTGCTAGCTCCTGATGTGTTGATTGCAACACGAAAGGCCTAGATCTATCATTCAACTTCATCCCCCTCCCCCCGTGGTTGTTTTGCATCTTGTATCGCGTGTTCGCGATTTTTGCTTATGCTCCTGTATGATAATTTGTGAATCTGTATTCATGTGTACCTATACCTAAATAAACTTACTAACCTTGTCAAACAAGATCAGGGTAGCAGTGTGCGGTTATACCTTATTATATTAATAAAATCTAAATTAGTGAAGACAAGGCAAATAAGGGCTCAGTATTATGTTCAATACACTCGCGTGGATACAATGAACATTGCTGGCTACGGATAGGACTGAACACACTGGGATAGGATTGAAGACACTGACTTCATCTAAACTTCCTCCGGAAGGAGCATTACCATTGGCTGACCAACAAACACCTACGTCATTGTGTGTTTTCTGTCTATGACTTTGACTCAATCTTCATCAAAATGCAACAAAATTTTACAACCCTACTTATTTTCTGTTTTTTACACAATATGAAAAACGTATACTTTTAATACTAAGCAAATAAACCTAAGGAATATTATTTGAATTCATATTATTGCTGTTATATTAAATATGGAAAAGGTTTCGGATGCAAGGAGAACTTAAGATGTGCCTAAGCACAGCTGACACACCATCAGCTTGACCAGTCAAGAGTTGGAGGTGACTGTAAGTGGACGTTAGAGGTACACTCGCTCATGTCTCCGGCAACAATGGGGTTCATGTATATTTTCTTAGTTGCCTGTACAGTTACGGTGACTTGGGCTACGATATACGACATCCCGTTCAGAAGCTGCAGAGGTATTGTAATTATTATTTTTAATGAGTTGGTTGGTCACGCCCCTCTTCTAAGGGGGCTTCCTAGGCAGTGGTGATGCACTCTTGATCCAAAGAATTGGACCTGACTTTGTTCCTTAGATCTAACCTAACTCCAAATTCTCTTAGGCGTTGTAATTTTTAGTTTAGCGCTTCCTGAATAAAATTGGGAATGTGAGGAAAATTTGGCGTTCCCGGTGAAGCTTTTGATCGAAGAAATCATACTTTACCTCTTTCCTTGGATTGAACCTGACTACCTCCTATTTTCCCCAGGTGATAGGACTTGTACAGTTATCCTAGAAAGTACAATTTCTTAGATCGAAGATCCCTTTACCACCTGATAAGCATACGACAGTAACAAGCGTACTGATACATGGTGAGAATTTATCCTGGCACCATTGCCTAGAATCACTTTGCAATACGAACCTCTATATAATATATATATATATATATATATATATATATATATATATATATATATATAGAGAGAGAGAGAGAGAACTGTGGCCAGGTTAACCTCCTACGTTGTAGGATGACCTTGCATACTATACATCTGACCTTCCTTCCACATGTATTTTTCTAATTTTGTCTAATGCACGACTTCAATGCGTATTTTTTTGGCAGGTATACCGGGACCCAGTGCCATAAAGGTTAATTGCAGCAGCTTTGAGAGAGAGACCTGTACATTAACTAAGGGGCAGACTTACAGCATATGGGCAAACTTCACACCCCGTAAGTTCGGTCTTGTTAGGCCAAAATTCTTCTTGTATTGCTGTATATATCGGTTAGCACCAAGTTCTATCCACTGGAAGTGTTACACAATAAAAAGTATCTGTTATTTGATTAAAATTAATAAATTCGGATAACTCGCTCAGAAATGTTAGATATGTCAAAGTATTTTATCCACAGTGGTACATTACAAACCATTCTGGGGAAAAATACCCTGACTGCTCACTGTAATAAAGCTAATTGCATTAAAAACTCATTGCCATTGTAATCAGCTGCAGATGTGTGAATGGTTAATTACCTTTATAACTTAGGCTATCAAAACTTTGCGGCCCAGTCCCTGGACCCATTATGCACCTCTGTAATTTTTTGACTACCGCCTACAGGGTGGGTATAGGGTACATAAGATATTAAACTATACTAATTGATATTTAAGTAAATGTAATTTGTATAGAAAGGATAAATTGCTAGAATGAGAGCCGTTTTGAGTAACTGCTGGTTTTGAAAATTATAATCAAAGAATAGCAACTTAGGGTTTTTGTATATATTGAGCAATCTGAAAACTTGGGGCCTTGTTATATTTAGGTTGGAAACCAAGAGCCAAATTAGACTACTTTTAACTAAGTAGCATAGAGAGTAAATATTGGCTCGGGGAAAAAATGGGGACCGAAGACCTGGAAATGAAGATACAAGGCTCTGGTGGCTAAAGCTCTCGCTGCACACGCGAGGGTCTGGCTTCGATTCCTAGCCAGGGTAGAAACATTCGGCGCGTTTCTTCACACCTGTTTGTTCATCCATCAGTACAATGGATACCTGGGTGTTAGTCGACTGGTGTAGTCGCCTATTTGTGGTTGCAGGGGTCGAGTTCTAGTTCCTGGCCCCGCCTCTTCTCTGGTTGCTACTGGGTCCTCTCTCTTCCTGCTCCATGAGCTTGATCAAACCTCGTCTTAAAACTATGTATGGTTCCCGCCTCCGCTACGTCACTTTCTAGGCTATTCCACTGCCTGACATCTGACTGAAGAAATACTTCCTAACATCCCTTTGACTCGTCCGAGTCTTCAACTTCCAATTGTAACCTATTGTTTGTGTCCCCTCCCTGGAACATCCTGTTTTTGTCCACCTTGTCTATTCCGCGCAGTATTTTATGTCGTTACGTCTCCCCTGACCCTCCTGTCCTCCATTGTCGTCAGGCCGATTTCCCTTACCCTTTCTTCATAGGATATTCCTCTTAGCTCTGGAACTAACCTTGTCGCAAACCTTTGCACTTTCTCTAATTTCTTGACGTGCTTGATAGTGTGGGTGTGGGTCGCATCCTGGGACATTGACCTAATTTGCCCGAAATGCTCAGCATCACAAGGACTTTCTATATAGCAAAATGTCATTGATGTCGGCTAGGCATGTATACCTTTTACATTTACTTGTAGTAAATATTATATTAGGAATAAATTTATTTAAATTCTCGTGGTAGAAATCCATAGTTTTGTTCGGGCTTTTAGCCCGGAGAGTTAGCCACCCAGGATAACCCAAGTCGGGTGTTCCGTAAGGGGCTATTTCCATGGGGATGCCTTAATCTGTCCCTGAGGATGCGACCCAGAACAGTGTTAACAGTTGCATATTTTATTGCTAGAACAGAGACAGTAGGTGTTTAAGGAAACTCCAAGGTTTCCACCAATGCTGGGGATCGAATTGAGCCACAGTATGCCTTAGTTAAATCATGGTGTTTACATTCTTGTTTAATAATCAAACATGGTTGCTATAAAATACAAATTATTAGGACGGGGGGGAGGCATCTGCTACACAAAGGTGTGAATGTGGAAATGAATTAGTTATAATATTTCTACTAAATACTCTACTTTCAAAAATATAATGCACAATGATTTTAATCAGAAATCAACGTGAATGCAGTGCAGAGCAGTGTGGCCTGGAAGACTTGGGTCGAAATGCCCTTACCTGGCCAAGATGCCGATGGCTGCAATGGTTACCTCGAGTGTCCCTTAGCACAAAACACACCCACAACCTTCACCTATCCCCTGCAAATTCAGAATTTTTGGATGAGGGTAATTTTGCATGCTATCTTAAGTTTTTTATAATTTCTATTAAAGCTTTCGACTAATTGAGAACTAGATCCTGTCTACGAAACTTGTGTAGGCTCGCATCACCTACAGTGCTCTATTGTTACATTTATCACTAGCATTTAGTTTCGGTGAATTTGTTTTGTAACATATATAAAAATTAATTCCTAAATTCAATCCTTTGGCATATTGAGTTAATGATTTAATATTTTTTTCATTACCTTTGCAGAGGCGGTATCCAATTGTGTGGAGGCTGAAAGATGCAAATACTGATATTAAAATTCTCTGTTTCACCTTCAAGATATTAATAACCTAGAAAGATAACTGGTATGAAAGCCTAAACGTAGTATACTTTGAATTATTAGTTTTATATAGTACTATGTAGTATAGCCCTAAACTATTAATACCCACTAAAACAAAATTCCAGAGTTATACCACAAAATATTAATTGGCAAATAATCATTTTTAGTGTCTTTGCAGCTATTTTGCCTAAACTATTAAAATAATTTATTACCGAATCTCTTCAAGCAGTTACTGCTCCCCCAAGTATGGCAATTTGATGGCTGGTCATGCCATACTTGTGCTATGGGTGTTAAGTTTGGGTGCAATAAAGTAAAAGAAATGGAAAATACACCAGTTAGGATTTTAGGTTTGGCAATTTTAATGCATTTCGCTTTTTTTTTTTCTTGTATACCATCATTGTCTAGTAATCATTGTTAAAGGCAGCTAATACCAATATTATTTTATTCTAATTCATAGTGTAAGGCTTAAGGAAACACTTGGAAAGTGTTCCATAGGCATCTGAAAAGTCTAGTATCCGAAGAATGATTTAGAAAGTCTTTTAATTGCTTTACGCAAGAAATACTTCATGGAATTTTAATTTTACACTTAAGAAATTTTTAAATATTTATCATTTTTATGGTTAAATATGGAGCTTAATGTTAAACTGTAGTAAGAGTAGCAAATGTTAAATTAGTCATAAAAAAATATTCTATTGATAATCCCCTGTTCATGTGTAATTATAGGAAAATTTAAGCAATGACTACATTTTAAGTAACTTGTTTGTTGTATTCTTGGATGTTTAACAGACATGTGCAATATTTGCAATGTGCCATTAAATATTTTAAATAGCTTGTTTGAATCTCATTAACAATATCCTGTAAAAACTAAGCACCGAGAAGAGGTGCTCGGTGCTATAATTTTTTTGATGTATAAATTAATAACCAACTGTACAAATTTAATAACGTATTTGAATAATTCTTAAACATTTTAATGATGGGTAATGATAATTATACACATTCTAGCTATGAAATGCTTAAACAGGAAAGAAATTTAGTTAATGAATTCCGGACTATAAGGTACGAAAATTTGAGAATCTTGTGGGAGGAAAGGGGGGGGGCCTACTTTTTTTTTTTTTTTAACGCCCAAGTGTTGAATGTAAACTATGTACAACTTTTTAATAGCTCTGTAACTATCACTGTACAGATGGATAATAGATCGGTTCCCGCCGATCTCTGGTTGGTGGGAATTTGAGCCAAGAGTCCATAACAATGATAATAATCACTCGAGCATCACTACCAAAAACAAAGATGGAGGACAAGAGTTTTTAATAATGTGTTTGCATTTCAGCGTACAAAGATACCGGCTTGACTCGGGACGTTCTGATAAGATATTGTTCCACAGGAAGGTCACTAAAGCTACTTGAGGTACTATATTGCTCTTGATCCAGGGAATTGGCCCTACCCTCTATCGTCGGATCAAACTTGTGCTCGTTATCCATGGGATGGGAGCTGTGACCTTATGGGTTTAGCGCTGTTTATTTTTGTAAGTACATTATTTTTAATTAAAACTGCTCTGTACGACCCTTTTGGGTTTAGCGCTTTCATTATTTAATTTCCACCGACTGTGCCCCTCAAGGGAGGTTCCTTGACGCTGGTGAGGGGCTCTTGATCTAAGGAATTGGATCTGTGCTCCGGTTCCCTGAAACGATCCTGAATACCTTCCATCCCCCCCCTCCAACGTGCGCTGTGTAATCCTACGGGTTTAGCGCTCCCCCATTATTATAATCCACAGTGAGTGACCCAGCGCGCCCCGGAATTGAATAAAATTCGGACAAGTTTCCTTGCCGCTGTTCACATAACAGTAAGTAGGTACCTGGACGTTGTGAGACGCACTCTGGGGATGGGGCATGATTAAAGGACGCCAATGGTAATAAGACTGCCCTCCCCTCATACGCGGACTTTGGGTTATCTTCTGTGGATAACTCTTGGGTTAAAAACTGCAATAAAATCTTTGATTGGCCAGACGTGTCACGTGACTAAGTACTCTCCCATGATTGGCCAGCCCAGCGCTTAAGTGCTTTCAAGTATGCATGAAGTTGTAAAAATATAATTTCAATTATAATAGTTAATTTCTAAGTACATGATAATTTTTTACAGACCAGGCTGACAGTCTCTAATATTAATTTGCACAAGGAATAATTTGGGGGGTTATGTATTGTAATATCGCTGACCCTGGTAGGTTTGGCGCTTAGTTCTGATTATAATAATTGCTTGTAATAACTTTGTAAAGCTTAATTTGGTTGTATTTAAGAGTTCAGACCAGGTTCTAACTTGTCAAACTGTACTATACTTCTTTTAGCTCTTAATTTTGACTGATCTCTACCTGTATACTAGAGATTATAATTTGACTGTATCACTAAACAGGATACGGTCAAATTTGTCTTCAGTTTGATCGCAGAATGACCTTAACCATAATTTTTAAAGGGTGGACTGGTATGTTGGAACTTATTCGGTCCGAGAAGTCCCAACGGGGAAAAACACACCGTTCGAGGGCCCTTACACCCACCCAAAACAAACGCTCATCCGGGTTGGCGAAGGTGGTTGGAGGGTACTAATTGATAGATTTAAGATAAGATTTCGTTCGGATTTTTAACCCCGGAGGGTTAGCCACCCAGGATAACCCAAGAAAGTCAGTGCGTCATCGAGGACTGTCTAACTTATTTCCATTGGGGTCCTTAATCTTGTCCCCCAGGATGCGACCCACACCAGTCGACTAACACCCAGGTACCTATTTGCTGCTAGGTGAACAGGACAACAGGTGTAAGGAAACGTGTCGAAATGTTTCCACCCGCCGGGAATCGAACCCGGGCCCTCCGTGTGTGAAGCGGGAGCTTTAGCCACCGGGCCACCTTCAGGGAAGAAGTAGGTAGTATATACTGTTAGTACACTAATATCAGGATTGAGGCAACTGTAGATAATAATAATAATGTAGACCTAAGACCTTAACACAAGTACTAATAGGCCAAATGTAGGCAAACACTAGTTAAGTTAGCTAGGGAGAGCTGGCAGGCCAAGTTTGAAAGACGAGGCGCGGGTCTCGAAGACGCCAGAGCTTTCTTCTGACTAGACACCATCTGAGCAACACGTGCCGTGATCAGCAGGTGGCACCCCCACGTGTCTTCACATGTGATACCTGGGGAAATCTGGTGGAGGCACCTCGACGTACCGTAGATGTCCTCCTCCGTGAGGTCCATACAGTAAGAAAAGACCTCCACTTTTTTCTTAGGATTCTGGCCAGTCTGGGGAAAGTTGCGAGTGAGTTGAGCTGTAGTCCTTTGTGCAGCCGGCAGTTCATGACTAGCACGTACTTTCTCTTGTCAACCTAGAAGCTAGTGTCCGTTTCTGCATAGTTATACTAGGGAATACACACCCTCTTGGATACAGGAATTTCTGAGGTGCAGGCAGGTCACTAATATCGATTGAATATTGCAGGAACTAAGGCTCCCGGTTGCACGTGGTTTCTGAGGGGAAGTCCAAAGGGGCTAAGCTTAGGGAGGTTGAAGACCCGAATAGACTCTACATCACCAAGTAAGTTAGCCCTTTAAACGTGCATGCAGGCGAGATTTCTTGCAACATCAGTCATTTATGAAAATCTGTCCTATAAGCCACTTGTGAGGCTGAGGTACCGACCTCAGAGCTCGGTGTCAACAGAGTTTGCCAGGGTAGGCGACTCACTTGGAGGCAGTCCATACAAATTTTAACACGGTAAGCCAGCGGAAGGCCTATATCAGTTGACCAAAAGCTCCAGCTGTGGGTCATCATATGTCAGACCCACGTCAAGAAACTGGTTTTCCTGTTTCCTGACGAACCTTACTTAACCTAGCCTAAGCAGAATGTCCTGGACACATGACCACAACACAGATCTCTTTTTGATATACCTCGTGTCCATATCACACTAAAAAAAACTATGCACATAAAGGGCCCCAAAATATGGAATTCATTACCAGAAGATATTAAAGTAACCCAGTCTGAAAATCAATTTAAAACTCTTCTCAAAAGCCACTTAATCACCCTAGACTAAATGCTAAATACTCAGTATACATTTACTCACCTATGTACTCCCACATCATAACTTCAACAATCACTTTGAACCTTTTATCCATTGTTGACAGGAATATAATTGAATCATTGTTTTCACAAAAAGCATTTTAGAATATAAATATATCTTGTACAAATTTTGATTAATTTATAATTAATATTCTACTGTACAACTATGAAATAATTATTATCCTATTGTACAACTATGATATACTCCTTAGTGTTAATCTTGTCCCCCAGGATGCGACCCACACCAGTCGACTAACACCCAGGTACCTATTTGCTGCTAGGTGAACCTGGAGTTTACCTGGAGAGAGTTCCGGGGGTCAACGCCCCCGCGGCCCGGTCTGAGACCAGGCCTCCTGGTGGATCAGAGCCTGATCAACCAGGCTGTTGCTGCTGGCTGCACGCAAACCAACATACGAGCCACAGCCCGGCTGATCCGGAACTGACTTTAGGTGCTTGTCCAGTGCCAGCTTGAAGACTGCCAGGGGTCTGTTGGTAATCCCCCTTATGTGTGCTGGGAGGCAGTTGAACAGTCTCGGGCCCCTGACACAGGTGTAAGGAAACGTGTCGAAATGTTTCCACCCGCCGGGAATCGAACCCGGGCCCTCCGTGTGTGAAGCGGGAGCTTTAGCCACCAGGCCACCGGGCCGTAAACTTCTTTACGTGCGGGTTATTTGTGTATTATGGAGCAACTTGCAATGTTTATTGAGCAACTTGCAATGTGAACAGACAGACTGATGATGTGGCCAGGCTTAGGCTTGGTTACAAGTACTTCTGGCAGTTTGAGAGAGACAGATGACCAATTATTATTATAATAAAAAAGAAGCGCTAAGCCACAAGGGCTATACAGCACAGATAACCAAACTAAATGCAAATTATATGATCAGGCATATGGTCACTCTTGAACACTGTCTCATCTAATCTAATCTTGTGTATTGTTCCAGTCACGTCATTGTGACTTTGTTCTAAATTAAGGGAAGCCAAGAGAATACAGAGAGGAAAGGGGGGGAGATGATTTAAGCAGCCTTAACATCTGTTATCGTCCTATATGTGGAAAGATAGTGAGAACGGACAATATCTATCATGCTGGTCTGGTGAAGGGCTGCTCGCCTCTATACTGTGGCGAAGAACAGAAACCACCAGATAGACATCCTGTGATGAATGTAAGTTTAGAAAGTAATGTGGGAGGCTGAATAATATAGGTGGTCAGTCACCGTAGTCTAGGTAAGACGAGGGTGGAATGAAGGGGGAGTATTTCTGCCCGTAAAGTTAGTCTTATACCTTATCATTTCACGTACACTTTTTAAATTACACCAAAGTGGTTGGGCCACTTACCTTTTATATCCTACCTCTCTCCCCCCTCCCACCCTTTTCCAAAATTTCTATCCTTACCCATCCTTCTTCCTTACCCATCTCACCAAAGCTCTGGTCTGGACAAGAACAAGAGATCGGCTAGAATAAGGTTTCAAGTGAGCGTGATATGCACCTTTAACGGGAGGCTATAAGAAGCTTATTTTATTTATTTATTTATTTTATGTCTTTGCAAACAGTACATTGATATTTTGTATTTACAATAGTGGGTTGCAATGCAAAGAGAGCCTCTATTATGCCTAGGCATTATGGGCCAACTTAACATTATTGGCTTACAGTCTACTTAAGGACCCCAATGGAAATAAGTTAGACAGTCCTCGATGACGCACTGACTTTCTTGGGTTATCCTGGGTGGCTAACCCTCCGGGGTTAAAAATCCGAGCGAAATCTCTCATGTCTCTCAAGGAAGGGTAGCTGCGCACCTCACTATATATACCCTCTCTCCCTGTATTGTTAGATCAAATGGTTTTAACTATTGCCATAATTTTTAAAGGGGTGGAGGGGTAAGCCAGTGGAAGGTCTCGGTCAAATGACCAAAAGCTCCAGCTACGGGTCCAGACCCCTCAAGGAAGGCTCCTTGACGCTGGTGAGGGGCTCTTGATCTAGGGAATTGGATCTGTGCTCCAGTTCCCTGAATTAAGCCTGAATGCCTTCCATCCCCCCATAGGCGCTGTATAATCCTACGGGTTTAGTGCTTCCCCCTTGATTATAATAATAATAATAATACGGGTCCAGAGCGGAGTCAGGAAACACTTGTCCTGTTTCCAGACGAACCTTACCTAACCTAACCTACACTGTTTGCAACACCTTGATAAAGCTCCTGGAGAGCGAAACATTGCCACAGTAAAATGTCACAGTTGTACTTGTGTCCTTTTACCTAACATATTGTCTGTAATCAAGGACCCCAATGGAAATAAGTCAATCTTGACTTTTTTAGGGTTATCCTGGGTGATCTACACATATGCTATGTATGATAGTACTTGTAACTGTATTTAAGTGTTCCTGTCCCCTCAAGGAAGGTTCCTTGATGTTGGTGAGGGGCTCTTGATTTAGGGAACTGGATCTGTGTTCCAGTTCCCCGAATTAAGCCTGAATGCCTTCCACATCCCCCTCCCCAGGCGCTGTATAATCCTCCGGGTTTAGCGCTTCCCCTTGATTATAATAATAATACGTGTTCCTGTACCTGAATAAACTTACCTGGATTATTATATTATTACATATTTGAAGGCAGCGGGAGACAGCTGGTTGATACACCTGTCTTCCTCCACTATCATCCTCTATAAAACAACAACTGTTTTGAGCAGTTTCTTCTGGTGAGTTTTTATTTAGGCCTTGATACTTTTTTTACGGTGGTCTTCAGGGCTTACACATAATTTGGCTACATAAAAAGGATTTGTAAATTTAGCTAGAATTACCCAGTGGTCACTACGTTGTTAAACATGTTAATTAACATTCTGTCAATTATATTATCCTTAATATTAACTCTACTAAGTAAAAAAAAAGTATTCCTGGTGTATTTTCCATTAATGTTAATTAACAAAAATTGGTCATGGTTTCCTCTAATATTATTAAGCTTATCTAGGTACAGTTATAAAGTTTTGGATAATTACAATTATCTGCATAGTAACATGTGTAAATTATGTAGTATAACCCCCAAATTTATTTATTTCCATTGGGGACCATTGGGATTAGTGGAAACTGTTTATTTGGGTAATAAAAGCCAAAGTAAAATTTTCATTTATGCAGGTTCTTTTTTTTTCATTAAATAGGTGTGTTGTGATTTTTGACAGGTTTTTGGGTAAATGAAATGTAGCTTTAGCTTAAGATAAGATTTTCTTAGGAATTTTAACCCCGGAGGGTTAGCCACCCAGGATAACCCAAGAAAGTCAGTACGTCATCGAGGACTGTCTTATTTCCATTGGGGTCCTCAGTCTTGTCCCCCAGGATGCGACCCACACCAGTCAACTAACACCCAGATACCCATTTGCTGCTAGGTGAACATGACAACTCGTGTAAGGAAATGCGTCGAAATGTTTCCACCCCGCCGAGAATCGAACCCGGGCCCTCTGTGTGTGAAGCGAGAACTTTAGCCACCAGGGCTTTATTTTGATAAATGAATTTAATAACCCTACCTATACCAGTCATAAAATAGTTGGTTAGGTCAGGTAGTATTAGGTTAGGTTAAGTTAGGTCAGGTAATATTAGGTTAGGTCGGGTAGTATTAGGTTAGGTTGTATGCAGAACATTTTTTTTTCAATAGGCACAATGTATGCACATCTCCATTGCACAATGCACTTAATGCTGAAGAATTTACATAATAAAACATACCAAGATTAAACATTGACTGGATTTTTCTTTGCGCTGCAGCTTTATAAATTATTCTTGAGCTCTAGTCTCAAGTTAAACAAAGATTGACCTTGACATGATCATTTAACCCATGTCATTTATTGCTCTATAATAGTGTTTGAGATTTAGAAACCTCTTGTGGGTACTCCAAAATTATGTTCACTTGCTAGTACAATGTTGATTTTTGGTTTATCAGAATATGAAAAATGGTATTCTGGACACTAGTTAACAATTTGGTGCTACTTTAGCATGCAGTCTACTGCAATATTCATAGTCTCCACTGAGAACTGACTTTTAACATGCGGTCTACCTAACCTAACCTGGTTAAGTTAGGTTAGGTTAAGTGTAAAAGTGCTGGTAGACTGCATGCTAAAGTAGCACCAACAATTTTATATGCATAGTTTAATTTTGCCTACCTTACTGTCACTTTCAGCTTTTCTAGTTTTGGCAGTTTGTGGTCTACATGCTCTCTTGGACCAAGGTCCAGAGTGAATCTTGCCAACTTGTGTACATGACACAACTTATACTGACTAGCTTACATCAGTGACCTACTGTATAGAAAGCCCCTTGTTATGCAGAGCATTTTGGGCAACTTAGGTTAATTTTGTCCCCAGGATGTGACCCATACCAGTTGATAAACACCCAGGTTACTAGTGACCTTCTTTGTAATTAATAATTTAAAATATGTAAACCACACATTGTAAGCCTTACAAGGAAATAAACATTTTTATTTTGATTTTTGGTTTTGTGAAAAGGGAGAGCAGGTATCCTTAGGAAACACATCCTATGTTTTCACCCATACTGAGGATCAAACCATGGACCTCAGTGTATAGAGCAGAGTACCATGATGAACAGTAGCATTGTGTGAGAGCTAGATGTAGGATCTTAGATACCTGACCTGGTAGGAACTGTGCTTCTGTATAGAGGAACTTAACCCAGAATTTACTTTATTTACTGCATTGCAGGCATCAAGGGATATTCCCAGACACTTAAGAAACTATAGAGATAGGTTACATGTGACTCGGTACCCTGAAAATTTTAGACTAAATAATAACATGTATGCACTGCATTTTATCACCTAGATCTGAGAATTTGTTTTATGACAATATTTCTATTTTTTTCAGAAAACTATGTGGTATCTTACAAAACAAAGAGACTGACAAATAAGTTAAAAACTGAACTTTGGATGTCTAAAGCACAGGATGAGGGGATATTCCACATTCTTCATCACTTTGTACCTGTAACCCTCAAAGATGGAGAAAACTGAATCCCATATGTAAGATATTAATTTTTTTTTTTTATGGACAAAGCAGAATGCTGAGTCCATAAAACAGGAAAACAGTGGTATAGATCTGGTATAAGCTTGGTTATGTATGGGGAAAATATATTTGTTGTCAGGGAGGTAAGCAACACAAGTAGTATGTTTAATAAACGAGGTTAATAATAGACTAATTGATAAGTGGTTTGGTTAATCATAAATATATTAAATTCAAATATTTTAATGACTGTGAAGGATATTACAGTGGTACCTCAGCATACGAACAGCTCCCAACTCGAACAATTATGTAAGGGTCTGAAATGGATTAATCTAATTTACGTTATTCCTTATGCGAACAAATTCTTTCAGTATCGGCACTCGAACAGCCTTCTGGAACAAATTAAATTCGTAACCCGAGGTACCACTGTATTTGCAATTGTTTCCAAGGATGAATGTGGTCAGATAACTGTTTAAATGTGGGACATATTGTATTATTACTATAATCATAACCCAGTGCTAAACCCATAAGGGGACATAATTGATTCTAAGACAAGGAAAAAAGTATTTGTGCTCTTTATTGTTGAAATTGTATGCTCATTTTAATGTGATTCATCTTATTACCTCTTAATCTTTCAGTTTTTTTGTATAGGACAAATCTTCTTTTTCAGCACAACCGAAAAAACAAGCGAGTCTCCTGCCACCACCAGCTGGGAAAAGAGGAGAAGAGAGCACCTTGCCAGGCAGGTTTTGGTGATGTGTGTTTATAATTCTCTATTCATAGTTACAGGAGCAGAACTTTGCTAGTGGTGTCCTGTTTGCAATTAGTGAAGCAACAAAAGTAATGGTGTGTATCTTAACTGGACAGAGACTGTTGTTGTAGTTAGTGGATGTAAGACTGAGCCACCACCATTCCTTGTACTGAGTAACCCATATGCATTTTGCACTTTGTGAAATACAATACAGTGCAGTCATAGTTCCTCATCTCTTAATGAACAGCTTATCACACAATTCTTAAGCAAATTTCATTAGTTGTAACTCATATTACCCCCATCTTGTATACCATTCCAGTATCCTGCCACTATTTTTGAAGAAAAATTAATAGTATTCTTTTCTTCTCAGTTTACAGTTGTCCTTATGCTCTCAGCAGTAACGATACTAAGAAAATGACAGTTTCTATTTTCTCGTATCTTTTTATATTCTTATATAGTGCATAGTTATGTCTACTGCTCTTATCAGTTTTCTACATAATTTTATTTTTTGGCCCCAGGCACCAATTTTATAGAATATCTTGAATGATTCTGTCTCATTCATACTTTTTTGGCCTAACTTATGTTGTAATTTTTATTTTATTTTATGTTTGTATTTCTTAATCATACTGTATTTGCCTTGGGGAATCACATTTATAGGTTGCAAGAAGATACAATTATCACTTTAAAATAATTGCACACAGCTACAAGATCTAGTATCTAACTAAACAAATACAATAACCAAACTAGAAACTATGCAAAACTGCCCAATAAGATTAAGCTGCCTGGGCCACTAAGCATGAATCCAAACATATCCAGGATCTTAACACAAAACAAAAAAGAAATAGCCATCCAGCAAAGAGATGTAATGGAGCAATTACAGCTTAGTAACTGTTTGGAAGAAGAGCTTTGTTTTTCGTTCCTAAGAGCCAAGTGAAAATTTAAAAAAAAAAAAACATACCACGGGTGGGATTAGAACCTGCGATCAGAATCTCAAAACTCCAGACCGTCGCATTAGCCACTGGGCCAGCTAGCTTCAATAAGATTCATTTAACTTTCCTGTGGTGTATAAATATACCTAGTTGGATGAATCTTATTGAAGCTAGCTGGCCCAGTGGCTAACGCGACGGTCTTGAGTTTTGAGACTCTGATCATGGGTTCTAATCCCACCCATGGTATGGTTTGTTTGCAATCATGTCATTACGATTTCATGAGTCGTGAAAACTTAATACATGTACAGTACAACATGAATCCTGCACATATTAGAGAGACACATTCAGTATTCTTTCTTCCTTTCAACACATCGGCTGTATCCCACTGAAGCGGGGTGGCCCAAAAGGAAAATCGAAAGTTTCTCCTTTTACATTTAGTAATATATACAGGAGAAGGGGTTACTAACCCCTTGCTCCTGGCATTTTAGTCGCCTCTTACAACATGCATGGCTTACAGAGGAAGAATTCTGATCCACTTCCCCATGGAGATAACAGGAAATAAACAAAAACAAGAACTAGTAAGAAAATAGAAGAAAACCCAGAGGGGTGTATGTACAGTGGACCCCCGCATAACGATCACCTCCGAATGCGACCAATTATGTAAGTGTATTTATGTAAGTGCGTTTGAACGTGTATGTTTGGGGGTCTGAAATGGACTAATCTACTTCACAATATTCCTTATGGGAACAAATTCGGTCAGTACTGGCACCTGAACATACTTCTGGAGAGAAAAAATATCGTTAACCGGGGGTCCACTGTATATATATATATGCTGTACATGTATATGTAGTGTGACCTAAGTGTAAGAAGTAGTAGCAAGACGTACCTGAAATCTTGCATGTTTATGAGACAGAAAAAAGACACCAGCAATCCTACCATCATGTAAAACAATTAGAGGTTTTCGTTTTACGCTCACTGGGCAGGACGGTAGTACCTCCCTGGGCGGTTGCTGTCTACCAACCTACTACCTACACATACAGTATTATTAACATCATTATATTCAAGGGGAAACACTAAACCTGTAGAGAGCCATACAGCACCTACAGGAATGGGAGGACAGATCTAATTTCTTGCATCGACAGCCCCCTTACCATCACAAAGTAACCTCCCTTCAGGAAAGAGGAGCATGTAAATTAAGCAAACCAGTGGCTAGTTCCTAATGGCACCATAAAAAAAAGTCCTTGTCAAGGCTGCCATATGAATAAACAAGAATTCATTTGAATAAGTGGCTAAAATTAAAAAAAAAAATAAACCACCAGGACTTGTTTTACTCACTGTGAGAAAAGTGCAGACTAAATCTAGGTAATTTCAGCCATTGCTGAGTTCAAGATGGCAAAATAATAGGTAAACCTCTTAGCTTACTTAGTAGGCATAATATACACTGTAAAAGACATTAATAAACTTTCTACACAAAAATTCAAAACCTATCCAGTAAACAAACTAAACAGGTCACATAAAGAAACTAAATACATCATGACTAACCCACAGCATCCTCAGAACTATTGACAAAAAACATAATTATGAGAAACAATATAGGTTAGACTTAATGCCCAAAGAATTGGCACAATAATATGCATCATCCATCCTGCATCACCTAACAGCACATGTGTCGTCCACCTCAGACTACCCTTCCACGTCATGAACTGGGGAGTAGCTCAGCAATTGTTTTAGGAGGATAGAATGAAATAGAATCCTGGTGGCAGCCATTCATCTTACTGAGACATTTGAGCAAAACAGTGTAATGTGCATGCCTGCTGGACCCAATATAAACATCCATGATTCTTATATTAATAGTGTTACCCATCCCTGGTCCCCCTCACCTTATTGCTCTGAAATTACCCCTGGACCTTTCCCTTTACCTCACCTTTGACCTCCCCTGTAACTGCTCTCGAGCTTGACCTCAGGGTGCTTGTTTGCTTTACAAGATAGTGATATCTGCTTGCTTTTTGTATAATTGATAAAGTCCAGCCCTGGATAAAGCATTGTAGCAGTAATAAAGATGTCCCTGTAGTATATTGAAGGATGATGTGTTGCCCTTCTGGAAAGACAGCTAAGAAGCAAGTAATAGTGGAAAATGGCCACTGTAGTGTAAATAATATACAAAGTTTATAATGTACATATTTTATATTTTGTATTTATATTTTAATTTCCTTTCAGATTGTTTGTAAAAGGTCTACCAAAGAACACAACCGAGAGAGATTTAATCAACTCTTTTAACAAAGCCAAAAGTGTTAAAATAGTTAAATATATGCAAGGAAATAAATGTGTAAGGTAGGTATTACCAACATTCCTATATTTGGCATCAAAATCTTAGATCTTTTTTTAGCACTGTTGTCACATGTGCAGAAATTGCTCCTAAGATAATCTTGAGCCTTGTATTAAAAGTTACACTGTGCTTTTTCACTCACCACATTTACAGTTCTTGTTTTCAAGATCTTTACAGTTAGCATTTTCACATTCTGGTACTATATGGTACTATTGATGTTATTTCCAGAATCTTCTTCTTTCAGCATACCAGCCGTATCCCACTGAGGTGGGGTGGCCCAAAAGGAAAAACGAAAGTTTCTCCTGTCAAATTTGGTAATATATACAGGAGAAGGGGTTACTAGCCCCTTGCGCCCAACATTTTAGTCGCCTCTTACGACACGCATGGCTTACGGAGGAAGAATGCTGTTCCACTTCCCCATGGAGATAAGAGGAAATAAACAAGAACAAGAACTAGAAAGAAAATAGAAGAAAACCCAGAGGGGTATATATATACAGTGGACCCCCGGTTAACGAACTTTTTTCATTCCAGTAGTATGTTCAGGTGCCAGTACTGACCGAATTTTTTCCCATAAGGAATATTGTGAAGTAGATTAGTCCATTTCAGACCCCCAAACATACACGTACAAACGCACTTACATAAATACACTTACATAATTGGTCGCATTTGGAGGTGATCGTTAAGCGGGGGTCCACTGTATATGCTTGTACATGTATGTGTAGTGTGACCTAAGTGTAAGTAGAAGTAGCAAGATGTACCTGAAATCTTGCATGTTTATGAGACAGAAAAAAGACACCAGCAATCCTACCATCATGTAAAACAATTACAGGCTTCCATTTTACACTCACTTGCCAGGATGGTAGTACCTCCCTGGTGGTTGCTGTCTACCAACCTACTACCTAGTATTTCCAGAATATTGTGGCATTTTATTTTGTTTTCCATTTCAATTATTATATAGCTAGTAAACTGCCTACTGTATTTTCATCACACATTTGATCTCCCATTTTTTTTCAGTACTGGACATATAACATTTGCTAATTTAGTTGATGCCAATGAAGCTTTGGCTGTTAAAAATTACTGTATCCAAGGAGAGAATATTGAAGTCACAAAGGACAACTTTACAGTTAAGAAGAAACCAGTCGACCAAAGTGCATGCAGCTCACTTGAAAGACAAATAAAAGTATGTATTAGTCTAATTTTGCTTTTTAGTGGATTTAACACTTTGAAACAATTTAGATTGTGTATAAAGTGTATACTGTATATGCACAGGCAGAGGAAATTTTCTGGTATTAAAGCCAGTACTGGATGGGGTAGAAAGTCACTTAGCCAGGCAGTTATGTAATAGGAAATGTGTTGCTCCTGTGTGATCTTTATCCTTGTTAATTAACTTTATTTTACCCCACTTGTTAGTAGTTTGCTATTATTGAAAACAAACATTTGAATTTCAGAAAGTACATAATTGTCACAAAATTCTTCTTTCTTTCAACTCACTGGCCATAACCCACTGAGTCAGGGTGACCCAAAAAGAAAAATGAAAGTTTTCCATTTTTTTAAATTTAGCAATTTATACAGAAAGGGTTACTAGCACCTTGTTCCCAACATTTTAGTCACTTCTTACAACACACATGGCTTACAGATGAAGAATTCTTCTCCACTTTCCCATGAGGAAATTAGGTGACATTATTTTATGATTTTAAAAGCCCCTGGTTATTCAGAGCATTTTGAGCACTAAAACTAGAACTTAAAATTGTTTGCATGTATAGTTGAAGTTCAGGCGTTTGAATGCTAAATTTAATATCATTAATTTGTCTGAAGAAAAGATTATAGTATTATGAAACAACTTGACACCTAACCTGCCTCATGAATATCAAAATTAGGAAGGATATCAAATACTTGTGAAATTATCTTTTCTCTAATATTCAATCACAGTACTACCTGGGGTTCTCTTGGTGGACATGAAGGTTATATGAGAAATTATCAAGTGCAGTTATAACTCAGTATTTTGAGAATGGAATAATGTTGATAAATAATTTGTGAGATATCTGTGACTACATATCCATAAATGTGTATTGTTCTGAATGCTGACTTTTACCTGTAGTTCAATTTTCTGGTAGAATATTTGAATCATACATTATAAAGTATTGTGCAGCTCAGTATATGTCTTAGTTTTAACTACTATTTTCTATTTCATTATTGAAGCTGGATGGAGAGAGACAAGCAGCTTTGGAAGATGAAGGTACCAAGCATAATGGTACTAAGGAGGAAGAAAGCATTGATAGTTGCACTGGGAAGCATCTAAGTGATAATGAAAGAAACGATGACACCAAAGACAAAGATGGTGATGACAGTGATGAATTTGGCAATGACAGTAATGAGGGTAAGAGCGACAGTGATGAAGATGACAATGATGAGGCTAAAAATGTTTGTAGTGATGAAAAGGCTGAGAATTATGATGTGAAAATTGATAATCTAGCTGAAGGTGATGGCAGTATGGTAGGTAAGAATTGTGATTAGAAATAAAAAAGAAATACTTAAATTTACCATAAATATATGTTCCTTTCGTAAAGTAAGTTCAGAACATAAATATTGCACAGTATTTGGTTACAAAGTGGATATTTAGATAAGAGAAGGGGCACCTATGTTATCACATATCTTATAGGTGCTAATATAACACCATCAATGTGAAGAAAATGAGGATAGTCTGCCAACAGCATTATGGTATTTGATACGATATTAATATTTCATTTCTTCATTTTGGTGTTCATATATCACCCAGGCTTTTTGGTGGTATGTAGAAAATTAATTAACACGATTTTTTTTCATGGGCATTAGCAGGGGGTCTCTCCCAAAATGTTTTAGTGTTGAAAAAATTTTTAGGGTAGCAAGTTTGTATGAAGTGGGTTTGAATAGTTAGTCATATGGAGTTTGAGTAGGGTAACATTTTGTGAAGGGATTGAGGGAAACCGGTTAGCTGGACCCGAGTCCTGGAGGTGGGAAGTACAATGCCTGCACTCTAAAGAAGGGGTGGGGCTATTTGCTATTTGGATTGTCATCTGAACTGTTGTATCTGCTCGCCTTTGGCAAGATGGTAATAGTGTAAATGATGGTGAAAGTGTTTATTTTTCACGTCACCCTACCTCCTTGGGAGATGGCCAATTTTAAAAAAAAATCATAAAAGAGCATGGGTTGTTCAGTGCTGCTCATTAAAATTATACACAGGTATGATGAAAAGTTCCTTTTTTTTTTTATCACACCAGCTGTCTCCCAACAAGTTAGGGTAACTCAAAAGAATGGGAAACACATTCACCATTAATGATTGAATACCTATCTTGCCACAAGTGTGCAGACATAATTCAAATGAAATATCTTCAGGACTCAAAGTCTGTCTAATCAGTTTTCCCTGAATCCTTTTATAAATGATACTTTGCTTACACTCCAACAGCACATCAGGCCATAAAAACTGTCTTGCTTCAATCTAACACTCACACATGCTTGCTGGCTAATCAAACACCCAGATATTTAAAACTTTTACCCTTCTCTCTCACCATTCCTGGAATGACCCTTATCCCTTTGTCATTGTATTCTGCTCCATTAATATTCATACTTATTGAGATCCCTATTTATGTTCTCTCAAAAATAATTCTTTTTTTTTTTTTTTTTTTTCAACAAGTCGGCCGTCTCCCACCGAGTTAAATTTTCTACATAACACAAAAGCTTATAAGGAGTTTTGGAATATTGAAAAGCCTAATTTTCAAATAGAGTTGCATTTGGGTTAAAAATGGCTAAGTTTATAGTTAGGTTTATTAACTAAGTTTGTTTTGTATAATGTTAAGATTTCTTTTTTAAATTAGTGTCTTAAGAAACCAAGTGCATCTTAAAACATGTTATGTATAATTTTATGGAATCTAATGCATATGGTGTCATGTTCTATGGTGAATAAATCTTTTAGATACAAATGCTTTATTTAAATGTGTCCATAACTTAATTATATCATACCATGATTTTGATTTACATGTCTCTTATTAATAATTGTTATATTTGATACATTGAAAAAAAAATACTTTTAAAATTAGTTTATCCTAATGGATGTAGTGTTATATACTGGTAGACTTTTTGGTGGTGGAAGGATTGCTGGCATGTGAAGTCATTAGTTGTGGCTTCCCATGCCAACATGACTTAAGTACAAACAAGTTCCGAGGTTTGTTTATCCCATCATACAATGCATGAAGGAGGATTTTTTTTTAATATACTGTAATCACCTATTGCAAAGATCCATTTTCTCATGTCTAGGCCATGATTTACTGCTCAGAGCATATTTGAGGATGCTGTGATTAAAACAGATCTATGTGAACAGCACTGGCATCAATACCTTAGGCCTATGTGGGAGACGGTTAAAAGGTGAGCAAGGTAACTTTTATGAAGAGATTAAGGGAAATAAATTAGCCTGTGATTTCTTGAGACTCTTCAATTCTTGCTTATGAAGGTAAGAGTCTGAGTGCAAATGCCTGATATCCTTGCTCTGGTTTCAGAATCCCAGGTCTATGAGCAAGCACATGATAGAGCTCCCATGGGAAGACCTGAACTAAGGAAAGCATAAGCTTGACTTATAAGCTGGAGCAATGAGGAGTCAAGGACTTAGGGGAGAGCCTGTGCGAGGTCCTGGGATCTGGGGCTAGGGGTCTGACTGATCTACTAGATTTTGGGGTTTATAGTATTCCCCCATCTCGAATATCTTGTATGGTATCTTTCCTGATATCTTAGTATCAAACCCCTTTCTAATTAACCAAATACACTTTTGTAATAAGTAATTAAGTATTAATAAATTGTGACTGTGAAAGATAGTATTCACTTTTTCCTTCTTAAAACTGTATAAGAGTGAATAATGTATTACTGTACCAAAGTGGTGAGTATCTAGTTAAGGGGAAATGATTCAAGAGTCCCCCCAAGAGTGAGTTGTGAGGAGAGATGGCGTACCACTGTTTTACTTCATTACTTTTCCATATTGCAGGTATGAAGGGTATCCTTTCACACCTGTGATATGACAAGCTGGACTTGAGTCCTGAAGGAGGGATGAGGATGTTATAGTTGGAAGTTAAACTTATTGTGATGTTAGCTCTTCTTGTTTCCTTTTAAGGCAATAACAAGAAGTTGCACGTTAAGAGACCATACAATAAGTGTCAGGGGCCCGAGACTGTTCAACTGCCTCCCAGCATACATAAGGGGGATTACCAACAGACCCCTGGCAGTCTTCAAGCTGGCACTGGACAAGCACCTAAAGTCGGTTCCTGATCAGCCAGGCTGTGGCTCGTACGTTGGTTTGTGTGCAGCCAGCAGCAACAGCCTGATTGATCAGGCTCTGATCCACCAGGAGGCCTGGTCACAGACCGGGCCACGGGGGCATTGACCCCCGGAACTCTCTCCAGGTAAACTCCAGGTACTACTCGACCTGCCCATGATACAGAGAGAGTAATATATTATAGCACATAAAATATGGACATGAATGTATAGGTTGAAACCAGAGCTGCTGAGGCCTGGAACTGTAGTTTGTCTTTTTTTTTTTTTAGTTAAAATTCTGGCATAGGCAGAGTAAAACCTTGGGCAATAAGTAGAAGAGAAAGTGTTCAACTGTATCATCTTGCATAGGGCACCAAGGGCAGTTCAGGCTGTTAATCAGGTGAAACTGGAAGAGATGTCCTGCCAGCTGGGTGCATCCAATACATAGATGCACCATGGCAGCATTAAGTAGACAATCTTCAGCACCAGCACATGTACTAGCTTCATCACAATCATGAATAAGTCCCACCTCAGTGGATTCAAGAGTGGGTAAGTGTATATAGGTACAATTACACAATTTTTGGATTGGTTGGTTATGATTGTCTTACAAGGTATCATATGTGTAAATTACCTAGAATAATCCAAATGAGTCAAACAGACTAATTTCCACTGGGATCACTGTGTCTTAGTGCTGAGTGTGACAGGGTTGCTGTCAGCACTCTAGATGAGCATAGTTCTGAGCATGTCACCTGAAGCACACATCAACCATATGACTGCTTCAGCAAACATGAGACTGGCACATTTAATTAAAGAATAACTTTCAGGAACATTTACAAGGAGGCATTCACGACCTTATACACGGCATATGTCAGGCTCATCTTGGAGTATGCACCCCGGTATGGAACCCACATCTGGTTCTGATAAAACTGCAAAGGATTGCAACAAAACTAGTTCCAGAGCTGAGGGGTATGAACTATGAAGAGAGGCTAGAGGAGCTAAACCTGACGACACTAGAGGACAGAAGGACAAGAAGTGACTTGATTATGACATACCAAATAGTGGTACCTCAGGTTACGAACAGCTCAAAACTCGAACAATTATGTATGTGTATTTATGTAAGTGCTTTTGTATGTGTATTTTTGGGGGTCTGAAACAGACTAATCTAATTTACATTATTTCTTATGAGAAGAAATTCATTCGGTATCAGCACTCGAACAGCCTTCTGGAATGAAAAAAGTTCATATCCCGAGGTACCACTGTACTCAGAGGAATTGACAGGGTGGCCAGGGAGTCTGAGAGATGGGTCTCGGGTACACAAGGTCATAGCTGGAAGTTGAAAACACAAATGAGTCACAGTGATATTAAGAAATACAACTTTAGCATTGGGTAATCAGGTGTAACAACCCAGACAGTGAAATACGTAGTAGAGGCAGAATACATACATAGTTTAGAGAATAAGTATAATGGGACTCATACAGCCAGGAGAAAAACCAGTAGTGGCCAACAGAGCCCCATGGCGAGGAGCTGAGACTTAACCCCCTGCAATCACAATTAGGTGAGTACGTTTCACATAACCTTCCAAAGATCAGTAGTGACTATTGTTCACTTAGCTACCTCACTTTTTGTACATTTAAAAAACTTCTACTCAATAACCTATGTCTAGTTCTTAAATAGTTTATAAGCATTAGTTAGGATTAGTCTACCTGAAATGCACCATTTATTAGTGACTTTCTTTTGTGCTTAACAATATTTCATTACACGTAAACTACATTTTGTATACTGCATAAAAAAATAGATGTATTGTGCAGAATAAGCCAATTGCAGATGGAAATCTTTAGCTCTAGATCTTTCGCACTCATGTCATCAGGAGCTATGCAATGTTGAAAGTCAGCAACAGATAGGAGGGGAAATTTTCTGAAGCAAGGTAAAAGGCATTAGTAGAGGCTCATGTCTGTGACATGAGCCATGATTTTGCATAGCTCCTGACGAAGCAAGAGAGTGCGAAAGATCTAGAGCTGAAGATTTCCATCCCCATGGGCGACTCCATTGTAACAGATGATCCATTCACTGCACCACATATTTATTTCCTACACCTGAGTTATAGAAACCATACATATACATGGTATGCTACACAAGGATATATTTGTAAGCTTACAACAATAAGGCTGATCTGAAACATAACGAACACTTAACACACCCTAATATAGGGACAGATCAGCTTTGCTATACCTCTATGAGTTTAGCGCTTCCCAATGATTAAAAACTAAAATTCCTTTGATTAATAAGAGCCCGTGAAAACTAAATCCCTTTGAAGGGAATGAGCACGTGTAGAGCTCTTGATCCAAAGAACTGGAGCTACCCTCCCTTTTCTCAGATCGAATATGATTGCCTCTCATTCCCAAGGCGCTATATAACCCTTAGGGTTTATTGCTTCCCCCTGAAATAAAGGTAATATCACAGCAGGAAGCCGCACTTTACGGATATACTATTTTTTAAATAATAGATTTGTGTATAAATTCAATCTCTATCTGGGATTAAATAATAAAATGTTATTTATTGCCATTGAATTTCAATTCAGTGTTTTCTACACAGTTTTTTTTTAATTATAATTAGTTTTAGCTTGATCCATTACCTTTAAAAATTGTTTTGGAAAATATCGGGATTTCCTCCCACCAAATAACTAATAAATTATATCTTCATCGTAAGAATATCTTTTCTAATATACATTGCATTTTGTTCTCTTTATAAAAAATATAATAATGATCTTCTTAATAAAAAAATATACATAAAAAATGACAAATGTAATTACTGCATCTTTGGTGTATTAATGTTGCTTTATACATTTAACAACTATGGTTTAAGGACATATATCAGTGAAATAAGTGAATGTTTTAACTTTTATGGTTTAAATAATAAAATATTACAAGGATCACAATCTAAATAAATCACTGGCTGACATTTTTGGGTTATCCTGGTGGGTAATTAACACACACGTTACTATATAAAATAATTTATGTAACTGTATTTATATGTACCTGTATCTAAATAAACTTCCTTATTAATGTAGTTATTTTGTGTATATGTTGTGAGACACACGTGTTTCAACACCTGTCCACACCAGCTGCCTCTCACTCACACTTCTCACGTTTTTGTTATATATTTCTGTCCGTGGAAGGTAAGAGACTTATTATAAGTGTACAACTGTTCTATGGTGACCAGGGCTTCCATATATATAAAAACCAAGATTGACAGTGGCGGTTTAATATACAAAAAACGTTGTTTTATGAGGGTGTTGTGTGTGTGGATGTTGTTGTGTGGTATGTACTTGGTTTATTTAGGCTCAAGTACATGTAAATATGATTATCATTGTGTAAATTACCTTGGATAACCCGTCAAAAATGGTCAGATAAAGTAACTATTTCCATTGTACTTCCACAGTACCTGTCTAGTACTGTTGTGGTTCTTGTACCAGTGTTAGGCATGATGTAGGCCTACTGTGACACTTCATCAGTCAGTAGGCCTACTGCAGTGTTCATCAGCCAGTAGGTCTGATGCAGTGTTCATCAGCCAGTAGGCCTGATGCAGTGTTCATCAGCCAGTAGGTCTGATGCAGTGTTCATCAGCCAGTAGGCCTGATGCAGTGTTCATCAGCCAGTAGGCCTGATGCAGTGTTCATCAGCCAGTAGGCCTGATGCAGTGTTCATCAGCCAGTAGGTCTGATGCAGTGTTCATCAGCCAGTAGGCCTGATGCAGTGTTCATCAGCCAGTAGGCCTGATGCAGTGTTCATCAGCCAGTAGGCCTGATGCAGTGTTCATCAGCCAGTAGGTCTGATGCAGTGTTCATCAGTCAGTAGGCCTACTACAGTGTTCATCAGTCAGTAGGCCTACTGCAGTGTTCATCAGCCAGTAGGCCTGATGCAGTGTTCATCAGCCAGTAGGCCTACTGCAGTGTTCATAAGCCAGTAGGCCTGATGCAGTGTTAATCAGCCAGTAGGCCTACTGCAGTGTTCATCAGCCAGTAGGCCTGATGCAGTGTTCATCAGCCCGTAGGTCTAATGCAGTGTTCATCAGGCAGTAGGCCTGATGCAGTGTTCATCAGCCAGTTGGCCTGAGGCAGTGTTTATCAGCCAGTAGGCCTAATGCAGTGCTCATCAGCCAGTAGGCCTAATGCAGTGCTCATCAGCCAGTAGACCTGATGCACTGTTAATCAGCCAATAGGCCTGTTGCAGTGTTCATCAGGCAGTAGGCCTGATGCAGTGTTCATCAGCCAGTAGGCCTGATGCAGTGTTCATCAGCCAGTAGGCCTGATGCAGTGTTCATCAGCCAGTAGGCCTGATGCAGTGTTCATCAGCCAGTAGGCCTGATGCAGTGTTCATCAGCCAGTAGGCCTGATGCAGTGTTCATCAGGCAGTAGGCCTGATGCAGTGTTCATCAGGCAGTAGGCCTGATGCAGTGCTCAGCCATTGTATATATGCTGAGAGTTATTTTAATTTCTATTTTACAGGTTAATCTTCACATATCTAAGTGCAGTACATCAATACACAAATAACACATAGATATCAATGGATTAAAAATAAATACATTAAAATATAATGCATTAATTTCATAAACAAGTGAATTTATATTGCTAGATTACTCATTGCTATTTTATACATGTGTAGTATATTACACTAATTTTGATTGACATTTACTACACTGAATAATATTGTGGGAATAAGTAATGACAAAATATATTGTCAATGGTTTTACTAAATTTATATACAGAGGAACTCTGACTTTTAGGTTATCCTAGTAGGTAATTTGCGCTATGTATTTGTGTGTACCTGTACCCAAATATACTTACTTGTTTACTTAATAGGAAAATATAAGACTTGTGACTGATTAGTGACGTACTACTACTACTACTGTTAATAATAATAATAATAATAATTTTTATTTCTACAAGTACATGATACGGTGCCCCGTGGCCTGGTGGCTAAAGCTCTCGCTTCACGCGGCAAGGGTCCGGGTTCAATTCCCAGTGAGGGTAGAAACATTTGGTGTGTTTCTTTACACCAGTTGTCTATGTTAACCCATCAGTAAACTGGGTACCTGGGTGTTAGTTGACTGGTGTGGGTCACATCCTGGGACAAAACTGACCTAATTTGCCCGAAATGCCCTGCATAACAAGCGGCTTTCTATGTAGTAGTATGTCATTGATGTCAGCTAGGCCTGTATACCATATACATGTACTTGTAGAAATATAGTATTATTATTATTATTATTATTATACAACTTATACAGTCCATAGCTGACATCAGTGACATACTCTATGGTTATGCAGAGCATTTTGGCAAATTAGGTCAATTTTGTCCCCAGGATGCGACCCACACCAGTCTACTAATACTCAGGTACTTATTTTATTGCTAGGTGAACGTGGACAGCAGGTGTCTTAAGGAAATGCATCCTAATGTTTCCACCCATACTGGGAATCGACACCCAGACCTCAGTGTGTGAGCCAAGTGCGCTAGCAACCCAGCTATAGGACACTTGTTGGTGAGATCACCAGCATTCTTGGGAATAATAATTTGTAACCTTTGTCTGTGTTTTAGCTTATGGTAAGTACTGTGTTGCATTAACCCTTCGGGGTAGGTGACTTGATGGCAGTGCAGGTTTCTTGGTCCAGTGAATTAGAGCCAGCCTCCTTTTTCTTGGATCAGATTGGATTACCTTTTCCCAAGGTGATGTGTGAATCTACAGTTTAGTGCTCCCCCATAAATGGAATAAAATATAAATTAAAAGGGCGTAGAAAACCTTCAGAAATGTTTTATGAAAAAAAATATATGAGGTTAACAGTTACTGTATTTTAATACATTACTTTATAAATTGTTAAACTACAGTGTTATAAAATGTAAAGATGGGAAATGTACATTGTATAAATTAATGATTTCCTTTTTCTCTACAGTGAACTAGCTGCGGTGATTGTTTTCATAATTCTGTATTTTACAGTACGGCATTACCAACCCTGAACTGATTTAATGATTCATATACGTACTTATATGATTCATTACCTTTGTACCTAGTTCAGCTATCAAAACTTCGGGGGCCCAGTCCCTGGATCCATTATGTACCTCTGTAATCTGTCAATACCTTTGTAACTTGTCATGATTGTGACCAGATCTACCTGGAGTTCATTACCTTTGTAACTTGCTCTGCTATCAAAACTTTGGGGCCCAGTCCCTGGACCCATTATGTACCTCTAATCTTTTGACTACTGCCCACAGGATGGGCATGGGGTGCATAATAAACATATTTAACTATTGTAATTTCCCTCTTTTTCAGATTCTAAAGAGAAGTCCTCAGGCAGTCAAGAAAGTGAAATAAAAGAGGAGCAAGTTACATAATTTGTTGAAAGAAAATACATTAAACCAAAGAACCATGACAAAGAAAGGGGGAGGAAATAAAGTGCCTAAAAGTACAGGTGGTTTTGCACAAAGGCATGCCAACACTGATGGAGGTAAAGTTGGTAAGAAAGGGAAAGGTAAAAAGAAGGGAAAAGGAGGATTAGGGGGTGCAAATCAAAATGAAATAAAAGGCTTAAAAAATGATAAACAGAACAAGAATATAGGTCCTCAAAATGAAAAGCAAGACAAGAATGTAGTTTCCAAAAAGCGTAATTCTAAACAGGAATCAAGAAAACGGAAAAGACAAACTGAATTTACATCTGAAGAGGTAAGATATTTCTTAATGTTTATTATGTTATTGTGGTGATTGTTGCTATTTCTAAGTTGTTTAGAAATTGCAAGGCAAATATGGGGGTGGGCAGAGGAGGGGTTGTTGAGATGGTTTGGGCAGGCACAGAGAATGGATAGGGATAGCAGGCAATGTGTGGTGTAAATATTATGAAGAGAATTTGGAGTGTGGAGATTAGTAAGTGGTGTGGAGTTAACAAAAGTATTAGTCAGAGGGCTGAAAAAGAGTTGTTGAGGTGGTTTGGTCATTTGGAGAGAATGGATCAAAGTAGAATGACATGGAAAGCATATAAATCTGTCGGGAAAGGAAGGCGGGGTAGGGGTCGTCCTTGAAAAGGTTGGAGGGAGGGGGTAAAGGAGGTTTTGTGGGAGAGGGGCTTGGACTTCCAGCAAGCGTGCGTGAGCGTGTTAGGAGTGAATGGAGACGAATGGCATTTGGGACCTGACGAGCTGCTGGAGTGTGAGCAGGGTAATATTTAGTGAAGGGATTCAGGGAAACCGGTTATTTTATATAGCCGGACTTAAGTCCTGGAATTGGGAAGTACAGTGTCTGCACTTTAAAGGAGGGATTTGAGATATTGGCAGTTTGGAGGGATATGTTGTGTATCTTTATATGTATATGCTTCTAAACTGTTGTATTCTTAGCACCTCTGCAAAAACTGTTATTATGCGTGAGGTGAAAGTGTTGAATGATGAAAGTATTTTCTTTTTGGGGATTTTCTTTTTTGGGTCACCCTGCCTCGGTGGGAGACGGCCAACTTGTTGAAAAAAAAAAACGTGTGCGTGTGTGCATGTGTGTGTGTGCGTGTGTGTGTGCGTGTGTGTGCGTGTGTGCGTGTGTGTGTGCGTGTGTGTGCGTGTGTGTGTGTGCGTGTGTGTGTGTGCGTGTGTGTGCGTGTGTGTGTGCGTGTGTGTGCGTGTGTGTGTGCGCGTGTGTGTGTGTGCGTGTGTGTGCGTGTGCGCGTGTGTGCGTGTGCGCGTGTGCGCGTGTGTGGTGCATGTGTGTGGTGTGTGTGTGTGTGTGTGTGTGTGTGTGTGTGGGGTGTGTGTGTGCATGTGTGTGTGTGTGTGTGTGTGTGTGCATGTTTGTGTGTGTGTGTACAGTGGACCCCCGGTTAACGATATTTTTTTTATTCCAGAAGTATGTTCAGGTGCCAGTACTGACCGAATTTGTTCCCATAAGGAATATTGTGAAGTAGATTAGTCCATTTCAGACCTCCAAACATACACATACAAACGCACTTACATAAATACACTTACATAATTGGTCGCATTGGGAGGTGATCGTTGAGCGGGGGTCCACTGTGTGATGTAGTATGAAAAAAAATATTAAATTTTAAATATATATATATATTATAAAAATTAATATATATATTTTAAAAATATATAATATAAATATATATAATATATATATATTATAAAAAATATATATAATTATATATAAATTTAAAAATATTATATAAAAATTATAATAAAAATATATATTTATATAAAAATTATATATATATATATATAATATATATAAAATATATAATAATAATATAATAAATTATATATATATATATATACTATATAATAAAATATATATATATATATATATATAATATAATAATATATAATAAAAATCTTATATATAATATATATAAAAAATATTATATTTTTTAAAATTATAAAAATATATATATATATATAATCTTAATATATAATATATATAATATATATATATATATATATAATATCTTAATATAAATATAAAATATATAAAAAATTTAAAAAAATATATAAAATATATATATAATAATTAATATTTTAAAATATATATATATAAATATAATATATAAAATAAAAATATATAAAATATTTTATAAAAAACTTATAAAATAATATAATATATATATTATATATAATAAAAAATATAAATATATATATATATTGCATTATGATTTAAAAAAGGGCAATGATGATGGATAGAGGAGCAATGGGCAGTGTTGCAAGTATATGGAATAGGTGGTAAGTTTTTAAAATGCTGTAAAGATTTTTATGGGATAGTGAGGCTCAGGTTGGGGTGTGTAGAAGAGAGGGAGACTACTTCCCGGTTAAAAGTAGGTCTTAGACAGGGATGTGTAATGTCACCATGGGTTGTTTATATATTTATAGATGGGTTTGTAAAGGAAGTAAATGCTAGGGTGTTTGGGAGGGGGGTGGGATTAAATTAGGGGGAATCAAATTCAAAATGGGAATTGACACAGTTACTTTTTGCTGATGATACTGTGCTTATGGGAGATTCTAAAGAAAAATTGCAAAGGTTAGTGGATGAGTTTGGGAATGTGTGTAAAGGTAGAAAGTTGAAAGTGAACATAGAAAAGAGAAAGGGTAAAGAGGGTGTCAAATGATTAGATAAAGAAAAATTGGATATCAAATTGGGGAGGGGGAGTAGGGAAGAAGTGAATGTTTTCAGATACTTGGGAGTTGACGTGTCGGCGGATGGATTATGAAGGATGGGGTTTAATCATAGAATTGATGAGGGAAAAAGGTGAGTGGTGCGTTGAGGTATATGTGGAGTCAAAAAACGTTATCTATGAGGCAAAGAAGGGAAATGTATGAAAGTAAAGTAGTACCAACACTCTTATATGGGTGTGAAGTTTGGGGTGGTAAATGCAGCAGCGAGGAGACGGTTGGGGGCCAGCGGAGATGTCCTGTTAAGGCAATGTGTGGTGTAAAATATATGCAGAAAATTGGGAGTGTGGAAAATTAGGAGAAGGTGGGGAGTTAAAAAAAGTATTAGTCAGAGGGCAGAAAGAGGGGTTGTTGAGGGGGTTTTGGGTCATTTAGAGAGAATGGATCACAGTAGAATGACATGGAAAGCATATAAATCTATGGGGAAAGGGAAAGGCGGGGTAGGGGCCCTCCTCGAAAGGGTTGGAGAGAGGGGGGTAAAGGAGGTTTTGTGGGTAAGGGGCTTGGACTTCCAGCAAGCGTGCGTGAGCGTGTTAGATAGGAGTGAATGGAGACGAATGGTACTTGGGACCTGACAAATCTGTTGAGTGGAGCAGGGTAATATTTAGTAAAGGGGATTCAGGGAAACCGGGTTTTATTTTCATATAGTCGGACTTGAGTCCTGGAAATGGGAAGTAAAAATGCCTGCACTTTTAAAGGAGGGGTTTGGGATATTGGCAGTTTGGGGATTGTTGTGTATCTTTATATGTTTAATGCTTCTAGACTGTTGTTTTCCCTGAGCACCTCTGCAAAAACAGTGATAATGTGCGAGTGTGGTGAAATTTTTGAATGATGAAAGTATTTTCTTTTGGGGATTTTCTTTCTTTTTGGTCCCCTGCCTCGGGGGAGACGGCCGACTTTTAAAAAAAAAAAAAAAAAAAAAAAAATATATAATTATTTAATAATATATATTATATATATATAATATTTTATATATATATTTAAATTAATATATATATATTATTATATATATTTTTATATATATATATATATATATATATATATATATATATATATAAGATATATATATATATATAAAATTATATATATTTATATATATATATATATTATATCTTTATATTATATATATATATATATAATATTTTATATATATCTTATATATATATATCTTATATATATTTATATATATATAATTATATATATATATATTAATATATATATATATATATATAAAAATTATAATATAATTTTATTATAATATATATTATATATATATATATATATATATATATAATATAAAATATATATATATATATATATATATTTTTAATATATATATATTATATAAATTTTAATTTATATATATATATATAATATAAAATATATTTATTAAATTATATATAAATTTTTATATATATATAAATATTATATATATATAAAATAAATATAAATAGATATATAAATATATATATATATATATATATATATTTTAATATATAATATATATATATATATATATATATATAATAAAATATATATATAAGATGGGGTCCACCTCTGGTGTAAATGTGGGACCCATAGCCTCGGAGAAAGTGGATAAAAAGGCTTCAAGGAAAAATATTTGGATTTCTTCCTGAAGCCGTTTGAATATCCACTTCCCTACCACCACATCTTTCATATTATTTTTTTTACTAATAGGAATATTTTATTACATAATATGGTCAGAAATTTAAGAGATACATTATTGAATAAAGGTGGCATATCGGAAACATGTTGTTACATGTGTATCATATATATACATGTATGTATATAATTTTATATATATATATTTATATATATATATATATATATATAAATATATAATATATATATAAAAATATATATATATATATATAAAGATATATATATATATATATATATATATTTATTAATATATATTTATATATATTATATAATTATATATATATATTTTCTTTTTCAACATACCAGCCATATCCCACTGAGGTGGGGTGGCCCAAAAAGAAAAACGAAAGTTTCTCCTTTGAAATTTAGTAACATATACAGGAGAAGGGGTTACTAGCCCCTTGCTCCTGGCATTTTAGTCACCTCTTATGACACGCATGGCTTACGGAGGAAGAATTCTGTTCCACTTCCCCATGGAGAATATATATATACAGTGGACCCCCGCCTTACGAACGCATCGCGTTATGTTAAATCCGCCATACGAAGCATTTGAACTCCAAAATTTTGCCTCGCCTCACGATAAAAAACTCGCCTTACGTGATTCGTCCGGGACCCGTCCCACGTGTGGCCTCAGCACCAGTGTTTACAAGCCAGCCAGTGCGGTCGCATCTACGCATACATTTGGTACATTTCACATTATTCCAGTGTTTTTAGTGCTTGTAACTGCAAAATAAATCACCATGTACCCCAAGAAAGCTTCTAGTGCCATCCCTGTGGTAAAAAGGGCGAGAATTAATATGGAATTAAAAAAAAGAGATTTAGGAAATGTGTGCAAAGTGGGTTGAACTGCAAACCTTTACGGACGAAAAATCACCCTGACACAGCTACTGCAAGCCGTGACTCAAGAAATCATAATGACACGATTGCAAACAAACCATACCCGCGGGTTCAATCCCGGCCGGGGGTATGGTTTGACTGCAAGCTGTGTTGGCAACCTGTACATTGACAATGTTATGGCCCATTTTAGGAAAGTCTTAAAGGAACGGGAGGTACAGAGCTCTATGGACAGATTTGTTGTGCGACAGAGGTCCAGTGACTCTCAAGCTGGTCCTAGTGGCATTAAAAGAAGAAGGGAAGTAACCCCGGAAAAGGACTTGCTGCCTCAAATCCTAATGGAAGGTTCCCCTTCTAAACAATAACTTCTACACTCTCCTCTCCTCCCATCCCATCAATCATCGCCAGATCTTCAAAAAAGGTAAGTGTCATGTATTCTATTCTTAGTAGAGTAGTAATTGTGCATGTCTTCTTCAGTTTGTGTGTATTAAAATTAATATATCATGTGGTAAAAAAAAAAATTTCATACTTTGGGGTGTCAGGAACGGATTAATTTGATTTCCATTATTTCTTATGGGGAAAATTAATTCAGCTAACGATAATTTCGGCTTATGATGAGCTCTCAGGAATGGATTAATATCATAAGGCGAGGGTCCACTGTATATATATACACATATATATAAGTATATACACATTTGTATATGTATATATACGTATACACGTCTATATACATATATATATACTTATGTATACGTATATGTATGCACGTATGTGTATATGTTATGTCTACACATATGTATGTATGTGTGCATATGTATATATGTATACACATATACATACACTGAGATCAGTGTATAGCCTTCCAAGGAGAGTATTTCAAGGGAGACAGCTTCAACTAGGTGATTAGGTAAACCTTTATATTTTTTGTGGCAGTTTGTATGTCATTGGAGGTTTGTAAGATTTATCTGTCATGTGTTCATGAGACAAAGAAAAGATCAGCATTTCTACCAATGCAAAAAAAAAAAAAAAAAAAAATTGGACACTCGTGTGACAAAACTGTAGTACCTCCAGGGATGGTTACTGTCTACTAGCTTAATATCAAGTGTTCATGGGGTTTGCTGCTATAACAATTACTGGGATATCATTACAGTTCAGGATGAGATGTATAGGGGCAGTTAAATAGAGAGTGTTAGACATATGTTTATGTACATTATTTAGGTTTGGTCTCACATCTACAATACTCCATCATACTGCAATACTCGGGATAGTGAAAGTTAGACAGGACTGCAAGGCCTTAATGTCCACAAGTACTCAAAGATAACTCAAGTCTGTATTTGTGGGTTTTATTTTTTGATGTATGTAATGCTTTTGTTTAAACAGCTAAAATCTTTTAGGTACAGATGCAACTCGGTGATGGACTGCAGGCAGAGCATGAAGTTCGAGCATCCAGCAGGGATCTCAGGACACTTTATGTTCGCTTTCCAAAATCACTAAAAGTCTCCAAGGGTACTGAAGTGAAGGAGTTGGTGAAGGAAGCAATCGATGTGCGTCTACCACGCTGTAGTTCAATAAATTTTTGCTCGTAAGTGGAAAAACCATGAATAAATCCTCAATGCTTTTGTAATGTAGTCGTCAAACTGTTTCTCTGCATAATAGATAAAAGTGAAAATAACCTGTACTAATTTTTTTTATCAATGAACTGGCCATATCCCACTGAAGCAAGGTGACCTAAAGAGAAAAACGAAAGTTTCTTTTAAATTTAGCAATGTAGACAGGAGAAAAGATTACTAGCCCCTTGCTTCCGGCATTTTAGTCGCCTCTTACGACACGCATGACTTACGGAGGAAGAATTCTGTTCCACTAATATTAGTAGTAAGTTATTTTTATTTTCTACTTTTTTCCAGGGCTAGATACTTGTGTTGTATGACCCATACAAGTTTAGCACGTGTTTTGTAATATAAGGGGAGAACAGGCATGGATGGAGTGTGTGTGAAGGGGGGACAGTTAGTATAGCAGGCAACCTGATTGTAAGAAGCTGCCATATATCACCAGCTACTGGATGTAAAGAGGAGAGTGAATATTATGAGGCGAGATAATAGATAGTACCTCTAAGTTTGTTTGCTGAGTTGGTTGATTGAGCATGTTTAAGAGGGAAAGTGGCAAATTTTGCCAGGAGGGAAGCGAGGGTTGCTATTATTGGATTTGTTTATTCTGTCATATACTGTAGAATGGGATCAATTATGTGGGCTGGAACAGGCAGTTGGAGTAATGATAGCCTAGACAGCGAGAAACCCATTGCTCCCGTACAGTCAACAGTGACCATGTCACTACTGTTGCAGTGTAGCAGTATCACATGTCCATACAAGCAGAACAGTGATTTTTTTTTTTTTTTTTTTTTTTTTTTTCAACAAGTCGGCCGTCTCCCACCAAGGCAGGGTGACCCAAAAAAGAAAGAAAATCCCCAAAAAGAAAATACTTTCATCATCATTCAACACTTTCACCACACTCGCACATTATCACTGTTTTTGCAGAGGTGCTCAGAATACAACAGTCTAGAAGCATAAACATATAAAGATACACAACATATCCCTCCAAACTGCCAATATCCCAAACCCCTCCTTTAAAGTGCAGGCATTGGTACTTCCCATTTCCAGACTCAAGTCCGACTATATGAAAATAACCGTTTCCCTGAATCCCTTCACTAAATATTACCCTGCTCACACTCCAACAGATCGTCAGGTCCCAAGTACCATTCGTCTCCATTCACTCCTATCTAACACGCTCACGCACGCTTGCTGGAAGTCCAAGCCCCTACCCACAAAACCTCCTTTACCCCCTCTCTCCAACCCTTTCGAGGACGACCCCTACCCCGCCTTCCTTCCCCTATAGATTTATATGCTTCCATGTCATTCTACTGTGATCCATTCTCTCTAAATGACTCAAACCACCTCAACAACCCCTCTTTCTGCCCTCTGACTAATACTTTTATTAACTCCACACCTTCTCCTAATTTCCCACACCGAATTTTCTGCATAATATTTACACCACACATTGCCCTTAACAGGACATCTCCGCTGCCTCCAACCGTCTCCTCGCTGCTGCATTTACCACCAAGCTTCACACCCATATAAGAGTGTTGGTACTACTATACTTCATACATTCCCTTCTTTGCCTCCATAGATAACGTTTTTTGACTCCACATATACCTCAACGCACCACTCACCTTTTTTCCCTCATCAATTCTATGATTAACCTCATCCTTCATAAATCCATCCGCCGACACGTCAACTCCCAAGTATCTGAAAACATTCACTTCTTCCATACTCCTCCTCCCCAATTTGATATCCAATTTTTCTTTATCTAAATCATTTGACACCCTCATCACCTTACTCTTTTCTATGTTCACTTTCAACTTTCTACCTTTACACACATTCCCAAACTCATCCACTAACCTTTGCAATTTTTCTTTAGAATCTCCCATAAGCACAGTATCATCAGCAAAAAGTAACTGTGTCAATTCCCATTTTGAATTTGATTCCCCATAATTTAATCCCACCCCCCTCTCCCAAACACCCTAGCATTTACTTCCTTTACAACCCCATCTATAAATATATTAAACAACCATGGTGACATTACACATCCCTGTCTAAGACCTACTTTTACCGGGAAGTAGTCTCCCTCTCTTCTACACACCCTAACCTGAGCCTCACTATCCTCATAAAAACTCTTTACAGCATTTAATAACTTACCACCTATTCCATATACTTGCAACATCTGCCACATTGCTCCTCTATCCACTCTATCATATGCCTTTTCTAAATCCATAAATGCAATAAAAACTTCCCTATCTTTATCTAAATACTGTTCACATATATACTGCTCTAATTGTGGCATTGCTATGCAGAGATATTCAAAGTAATCCAGGATTGCAAACTAATGTGCAGAGGCACAAGAGACAAATTAGGTGCCTTTGTCTTCACTGTAGCAAAAGGGTTCCTAGCTGCAGCTGTGCAGTTACCTGTGATACATATGGGGAATGGATGAACAAGGGGGTAGCAATAACTTTAACATTGTATGTAATGTATGTTCAGAATACAAGGCTGCAAAGACAATATTGTTACTAACATTGTATGTAAAGCATGCATAGAACACAAGGCTGCAGAGACAGTATTATTACCAGACTGAAGAACATTAAACACAACTGCAAACAATGCACCAGTTTGTCCACTTTGTACTGATTGTTTAAGGAAGAATGTTACGTAGAGTACATGTGAATTCTGTATAGGATAGGCCCACAACATGTGTGTTGTTGGTCATGATAACATTGCTTCTCATCAGTTTGTATGCACCTTAATGCATTACCTCATAGTTATGCTGACCTTGATGTATCAATCTTTTCTGCAACAAATTATCCTGTAGACTATACTGATGACTGACTGCTTGAAAACAGCAGATCTTCACTTTGTTCATATCAGTGCAAAATTACTTCTAACCAAAATGACAGGGGTTAGGACTCTAGCAAGTAAAATTAAAGCTGCAGTAATATCCGTTTCTGAATCCTGGTTATATGACAGTGACTGACGATATAATTTAAAAAACCTCGGTTTTCATATGCCCTAGTCTGTATGTAAAACTAGTTATTTTCTATAAAATGTATTTTTTGTTAGTATTTTCCATAAGAAATAATGTAAATCCAATTAATCCATTCCAGACACCCAAAAATATTAACAAAAAATAAATTTTATACAGAATAACTATACTTTTACATACAGACTAGGGCATATGAAAACCGAGGTTCCACTGTAGAGGGTTAGAGCATAAAATGGGATGGAAATAGACAAGGTAGTGGGGTATGTGCTTATTTAAGAAATGACTACGCTTTCAACCTAAGACTCTACTGCTTGACAATAATTTGGAGATTCGATGGTTGAAAATGTGTTGGTTACCCAAGCCCAAACCCATACTAATAGGAACTTTGTTACTGCCCTCCCACCCATGATCAGTTCTTAGAAAACTTTTAGAGAATCTTATCCAGAATTGTGCACAGTTGTGAGACAATAATACTGGGAGACTTCAATATCTGTTTTCAACAACAAAACAATGAACTATGTAACAGGTATAAGCAAATTCTAGGATTAAATAGTTACACTCAATTAATTAATTTCCCAACCTAGATTACATAGTTCTCAGCCACCATACCTGACCACATAGTTTGTATATGCTCTGAAAACATTAGTCAGTCAGGCATCATTCCCACAGGTCTTAGTGATCATTTTATCATTTATTGCACCAGGAAAATTATTAGAGAATGGATAGACCTGCACAGGACAATAAAATTGAAATCAGCCAGGAGCTACAGTAGAGTAACACTCCTAAGTAGACTGCACATTTGTGATTAGACTGCACAAACTAGTTGCACTGAGTAAGGGCCAAAAATTCTTCATATGTGACATGTGTAAGTAATATTAATTTTTCATTGATATGTCAATATTGCAGGCATTGCTTCTTGGAATTTGAATCTGAAGAAATGACAGATCGCATGAAAGAAAAAATTTCCAAAATGAAAGTGGGAGATGAATCATTTTATGTTGACTACGTTGGAAAGAAGTCCACATATTGCAGAGAAAGGCAACCAGGACCTGTGAATCCTCTCAAGTTAGTGATTTCTTTCAATTTTCACCTTAGTAATTAGTTACAGCGTTTCCTCACTTAACAACAGGTTACGTTTCCAAGACCACGTCGGTAAACTAATTCGTTGCTGAGCGAGGAGCATACTATAATGGTAGTGGGTTTGTGTCACCCATCTTTTATATTGTTTTAATGTCACCTTTGCACCATTTATAACATTTCTGGTATATTTATTTTGAGGGGTGTTAATGTTGTAGTTTTATAACTTAGTGTAAGCATGCCTCTGGCAAGACAGTGACGGAATGAATGATGACGAAAGTTTTTTTTGGGCCACCCTGCCTTAGTGGGAAACGGCCAATGCGTTAATAAATAAATAAATAGTACTTTCATCAAATAGTAGTGTACTGTATACCGTAATAAACAGAATAGAGGAAATCAGCTCTAATATACATTATTTAAGTATGCAAGCTGGTCAGAGAACCCATTATAAGTCTTGAGTTGTAGGTAAATGAGTACGTCGCTAAGTGAGGAGAGGCTGTATACATACAGGTAATTAGTTACAAATATATTTGTAAATATTCATGGAAAGCTATTGGCATAAAATTAGTATTTTTTTTTCTCTTCTTTTCTTCTTTTTTTCTTCTTCTTTTCTTCTTTTCTTCTTCTTATTCTCCTTATTCTTCTTTCTTCTTCCTCTTCTTCTTCCTCTTCTTCTTCCTCTTCCTCTTCTTCTTCCTCCTCTTCTTCCTCTTCTTCTTCCTCTTCTTCTTCCTCTTTTTCTTCTTCCTCTTCCTCTTCTTCCTCTTCTTCTTCCTCTTCTTCTTCCTCTTCTTCTTCCTCTTTTTACTCTTCTTCTTCCTCTTCTTCCTCTTCTCTTCCTCATCCTCTTCTTTTTCCCTTCTTCCTCTTCTTCTTTCTCCTCTTCTTCCTCCTCTTCTTCCTCCTCTTCTTTTCCCCCCTCTTCTTCCTCCTCCCTCCTCCTCCTCCCTCCCCCTCCTCCTCCTCCCTCCTCCTCCCTCCTCCTCCTCCCTCCCTCCTCCCCCTCCTCCCCCTCCTCCCTCCCTCCTCCTCCCTCCTCCTCCTCCCTCCTCCTCCTCCCTCCTCCTCCTCCCTCCTCCTCCTCCTCCTCCCTCCCTCCTCCTCCTCCCTCCTCCTCCCCTCCCCTCCTCCCTCCTCCTCTCCCCTCCTCCTCCTCCCCCTCCTCCTCCTCCCTCCTCCTCCTCCCTCCTCCTCCCCCCCTCCTCCTCCCTCCTCCCCTCCCCCTCCTCCTCCTCCCTCCTCCTCCTCCCCCCTCCCTCCTCCCTCCTCCCCTCCTCCTCCCCCCTCCCTCCTCCTCCTCCCTACTCCTCCTCCTCCCTCCTCCTCCTCCCCCCTCCCTCCTCCCTCCTCCTCCTCCCTCCTCCTCCTCCCTCCTCCTCCCCCTCCTCCCCTCCTCCTCCTCCCTCCTCCTCTCCCTCCTCCTCCTCCTCCTCCTCCTTTCCCCCCTCCTCCCTCTCCTCCTCCTCCTCCTCCTCCCTCCTCCTCCCCCCTCCTCCTTTTCCCCTCCTCCTTCCTCCCTCCTCCCCTCCTCCCTCCTCCCTCCTCCTCCTCCCTCCTCCTCCTCCCTCCTCCTCCTCCTCCTCCTCCTCCTCCTCCCTCCTCCTCCTCCCTCCTCCTCCTCCCTCCTCCTCCTCCCTCCTCCTCCTCCCCCCCTCCTCCTCCTCCTCCTCCCCCTCCTCCTCCTCCTCCTCCTCCCTCCTCCTCCTCCCTCCTCCTCCTCCCTCCTCCTCCTCCCTCCTCCTCCTCCCTCCTCCTCCTCCTCCTCCTCCTCCCCCCTCCTCCCCCCTCCTCCTTCCCTCCCCCCTCCCCCTCCCTCCTCCTCCTCCCTCCTCCTCCTCCCTCCTCCCCCTCCTCCTCCTCCTCCTCCTCCCCTCCTCCCTCCCTTCCCTCCTCCTCCTCCCTCCCCTCCTCCCCTCCTCCTCCCCCTCCCTTCCCCCTCCCCTTCCTTTTTTCCTTTTCCAAATTTCCTCCCCTCCCCCTCCTCTCCCCCCAACACCCGCCGAATCCCACCCGCAGGTGGAAAAAGGAAAAAAAAGCAAAATTTTAAAAAAAAGAAAAATCCCAAAAAGGGGGTTTTATTTAGCTTTTAGTAGATTTACCAAGTGGGTATTGAGAAGAACGTCCAATCTTGAATTTAGAGAAAAAAAAGAACCAAAAACCCAAAAGAAAAAAAAGAAAACCCTTGGAGGAAAGTATATCCTTTTTGCTGTTTAAATATTAAAAAAGTAAATGGACCCTTGTAAATAAATTCCCAAGACTACCTGAAATCTTGCATTTTTAGAACAAAAAAGGAAAAACCGCAAACCACCAAAAATTTTAAAAAATTTAAACAGATTTTTTTACACACTCACTGGCATGACAGTAGACCTTCCTTTATTGCTGGGGAATAAATATAAAAATAAGGGTTTTAAAGGGGAACCCCTTTATAAACTTTAATCCTTTTGGGGACTCCTCGTTTCAAAATAACCGTTAGTCAAGGATTTGTCCCAAACAATTGGATCAAATTAATCCCCTTCAAGACACCCAAAGGGATTAAAATGTATTTTAAAAACTGAAATTTAATTTTAGTACACACAAACTGAAAAAGACATGCACAGTTACATGACACTTACCTTTATTGAAGATCTGGTGATGATTGATGGGATGGGAAGAGGGGAGTGTGTTGATGGTCTTAGTGTTTAGAAGGGGAATCCCCTTCCATTAGGACTTGAGGTGGCAAGTCCTTTTTTGGGGTTACTTCCCTTCTTCTTTTAATGCCACTAGGACCAGCTTGAGAGTCACTGGACCTCTGTCGCACAACATATCTGCCCATACAGGCCTGTACCTCCCGTTCCTTTATGACATTCCTAAAGTGTTTCACAACATTGTCAGTGTCACCATTAAACACTTGTTCAGGTTTCAGTCCTTCACTGTCTACGTACTCCTTGAATTCCTGCACATATTTTTCAGCTGCTTTTTGGTCCAAACTTGCAGCCTCACCATGCCTTATCACACTATGTATGCCACTACGATTCTTAAATCTCTCAAACCAACCTTTGCTGGCCTTAAATTCACTCACATCACCACTAGTTGCTGGCATTTTTCTAATTAAATCGTCATGCAACTTCCTAGCCGTTTCACATATGATCGCTTGAGAGATGCTATCTCCTGCTATCTGTTTTTCGTTTATCCATACCAATAACAGTCTCTCAACATCTTCTGTCACTTGCGATCTCAGTTTCGAAAACATAGTTGCACCTTTGGCAAGAACAGCTTCCTTGATTGCCGTTTTCTTGGCCACAATAGTAGCGATGGTTGATTGGGGTTTTGTGTACAGCCTGACCAGCTTGGAGACACGCACTCCACTTTCATACTTAGCAATGATCTCTTTCTTCATATCCATAGTAATTCTCACTCTTTTTGCTGTAGGGTTGGCACTAGGAGCTTTCTTGGGGCCCATGGTGACTTATTTTGCAGGTGCAATCACTAAAAAGGCTGTGATAATGTGAAATGTTCCGATTGTATGCTTGGAAGCGACCGTGGTGGCTGGCTGGCTTGTAAACACTGGCCAGAAGTGGACGCGTCTCAGACGGAACAAATAGTGTTGGTCGAGTTTTTTAGCGCTAATCGAGGCAAAATTTTTGCGATAAAATGTATCGCTAGTCAGATTTATCGTTAATCGATGCCATCGCTGGTCGAGGGTCCACTGTATTATCTTCATTCAATTATGTCGTGCATAAAATGTACCATGGGTTGCTACAGGCAATGAAAAAAATTCTTTAGGATAATGCAGTTTGAGTACCTCTTATCCAAAATGCTTGGGACCAGAAGCATTGCAGATTTTGAAACTTCAGATTTTGGAATGTTTGTATATACTGTATATGCCCAGTTAAAATAGAGGAACACTTCAGTAGGTCTACTGACCCATGGTAGGCAGGTGCTACTCAAATCCAACATTTCTCACTTATATTTGTCCAACCTATTTTTAAATAATAATCAAAAAATGTAGATTTAATATTTATGCTCTTGATTGTTGGGGACCTCATCCCTTTCTCTTTCTCTTTCCATTTCTTTTTCTTTCTCTCCTTTTTATATATATTTTTTTACTCAGGGTTTTACAAGGTTAGGCTTAGGGTTCCTAACTTTCTTTACAAGCTAAGAGCTATTACCTATATCAGCTCATTTGAAAGCTTTTTTATTATGAAGCGTACAAAAATGGAACAGGATGAATTTGGAACCAGCTGTGGGCCAGCAGTTTCATTTGATCAACTGACTTTATTTTGCTGATATCAATGTACTATATGAATGTGTTCCAGCCTAGAGTCATTCTAGGAATAAATGATCTCAGGTGAAATTTGAGAAGGGTATAGTCAGGGTGAAGTTGCTGCTTGCTGCCCGTCTTGTGTAGAAGCTCACTTGCTGTCCTCACAGTGGAGCCAAGTGTGGTACTTTGACAATGTTGGCCTTATACATAACAGTAACACCATGCACATTCCTCCAGTGTTGAAGGCTCTACTGAAATGACAGAGCTATCCAGGTGGGTCCAGGCGAGAGATGTGTCATCTTGTTCTGTTATCTATTGTCAAGAAGTCGCAGATGAGACAGAGGGCAGGCAATCCAAGAAAGTGGAGCATACTCAAGGTATGAACATACTTGTTCCTCATACAGAATCTTACAACCTCTACTGTCGAGCAGACGCGAGGTACATCAAAGTGCTGTAAGCTTCCTGAATGCCTCGTTTGCAAGATTTACATGGTTGTTCATGGTCACTTTGGAGTCAGATTTCATCCCACGGATACCAACTTCATCCATGGGTACCACCATGTTGCCTAGAGACTGTCATCATTTGTGTTTTCTTGGCAAATGTGACCTGGCATCATTTACCCCCAGGCTGATAAAGCTGTAAGGTGGTGATTAATGTAACTTAGAGAAGCTGGCATTTCCTCTCTTGGATAAGTAAAGGTCAGAATACAGTTGTCTGCATATGCATGAGATTCTGGAATGAAATTCAGGTCATTGAAGTAGACATTCCATAACAATGGCCCAAGCACACTTTCCTGTGGAACACTTCCACCAGTAGAGTGTCTTGCCAACTGTCCCATTGAGGAGATAGTGTAGAACCTGCATTTTCCAGTGCTTGCAGTTTTACCACAAGTCCCTTGTGCCATACTCAGTAAGAAAAGAACCAGTAATGTTCAGTGCTACTACACAGCTGACTTTGGATTCATCCTGTATCTGGTGCCACTTAGTGGAAAGGTTTGCAACAAATCACCAGCAGAGTAACTTTTTCTGAAGATATATTGACTATCACAAAGAAGCGAATGGTAATAGAAAATCTTTTTGTCATCTGCCATGGGATTATTGTCTCAAGAATCTTGCCAGTGATTGACAGGAGTAACACTGGTCTGTAGTCGCTGATTTCTGCTCTACTCTTCTTTTTGGGAACAAGGACTGCATTTGCCTCTTTCCACAGAGAAGGCCATTTACACTCTCTCCTTCTCTTTCTCACTTTCACTCCTCACTCTCACTTTCTATTTCTCACTCACTTTCTATTTCTCACTCTTCTCTTTCTCTCTCTTTCTTCTCTTTTTTTTCTTTTTTTCTCTTATTTTTTCTCTTCTCTCTCTCTCTCTTAGATACTGAGTTTTGTTTCTCTGTTATTCTCTCTCTCAAAGATCTTCTGGTCGTTGAAGATATTTGAGGTATAGATAAAAACACACTGAAATAGCTAGATAAATGTATTGAACCTGTTATTCTTCCTAAAATATTTGAATATTTATCTTGGCTCAACTTACTAATAGTATCTTTATTTTACTCTAATCATCATCCTTTTCTTCAGTTCAAGTGAATTTGTCTCCTTCATTTTCTCCTCATCAAGGGGCTAGTAACCCCTTCTCCTGTATAAATTACTAAATTTAAAAAGAGAAACTTTCGTTTTTCTTTTTGGGCCACCCTGCCTTGGTGGGATACGGCCGGTTTGTTGAAAGAAGAAAGAAAGATTCTCTCCTCATCCTTCCCTATTCCTGTGAAATAATATATACTAAAAATGGATTGCCTTACCTACAGGGTAAGATTATGCAATACATAGAAATGTATTCCTTTGACCTTGCTTAGGATATGTTCCAAGACCTACCACAGATATTATCAAACCCTATACACAAGTCATTTTTTATTTACATGCATATCTATGATAAAGTTAAATTGATAAATTATGCACAGTAAGTGGAGAATTAGTACATTTTCACTGATGGGAAACACTTCAGTTTCTCTTAGGCTTTGAAGAACTGCCATCATCATTATTTTTGTGCTTTGGTGTAATTATTAAGTAAAATTTAGGCTTATTTTCAGGCCATGGTAAACCACGGAAACTGGATCCGCGGTTACAGGGGGTTCTACTGTATTTCTTTCCATCCACTTCCATTGCCTTGTCAAGCTAGCTAATGAGTCATTTCCCAGCTAGAGTTCATTATGCTCTAAAAAATATTATAGGGTATAGTAATGCAGTGTAGTATTTAGTGATTAGTATTGTTAAAAATTTGTAGATTATATATTGGAAGAGTGCCAATGACAACTACCCGTGATGATCTGAGAAAGGCATTCCGCACAGCAGCGCAAATTGACTACCGAAGAAAGAAGAAAAATCTACGAACAAGGTAAGGTGAGATTCTTTAATGATTTGGTGAATACTCATTTTTGTTTAATATTTGCATGATTGATGGTTATGCAACATGTAAAATAACATAAATGGATATTTGTAATATGATGCGCCTGAATTTTTTTTATAATATTTCAGGTTTGCTCTCATAACTTATGGGAGTCAAGAAGAAGCCTTAAAAGTATTTAATTCTTCCAAAAACCTAAAAATCAATGGAGAAGAAGTAACAGTTATGTTTGCTAAAGCAAGGCAAATTGATGTTAGAAATAACCGCAATGAGACTCCTCCTAAAAAAATGAAGGTAAATGTATGTGTGTGATGTGTCTTAAAGATTTCTCTCTCTCTGTCTCTCTCTCTCTGTCTCTGTCAATCTCTGTCTATCTGTCTATCTCTCTATCTATCTGTCTATCTCTCTCTCTCTCTCTCTCTCTCTCTCTCTCTCTCTGTCTTTTTTTTTTTTTTTTTTTACACAGGGTTTGACAAGGTTAAGGATCCCTAGCTTTATTGACAGCTATTTACAGGTTAAGGATTCCTAACTTTATTGGCAAGCTAAGAGCTGTTACCTACATCAGCTCATTTGAAAGCATTTTTATTGTTATGAGACATACAAGTAGGAAACAGGATGAAGTTGGAGCCATCTGTGGGCCAGCATTTTCATTTGATCAACTGACTTTATCTCGTTGACATCATTATCCTGTACGAATGTGTTCCATACTCGAGTCATCCTGGGTATGTATGATCTCAGATGGAGTGATGTTCTGGAGAAGGGTACAGCCAGAGTGAAGTTGCTGCTTTCTGCCCGTCTTGTGGCATAAAAGCTTGTTTCACGCTGTCCTCGAAGTGGATCCAAGTGTGGTATTTTGACAATATTGGCCTTGTACATAACAGTAAGGCCACCCACATCCCTCTTATGTTGAAGGCTCTGCTGAAATGACAGATCTATCCAGGATGGGTCCAGGTGAGAGATGAGACGTCTTGCTCTGTTCTCTACTCTGTCAAGCAGTCGCAGATGAGAGGGGGGGCAGGCAAACCAAGAAAGTGGAGCATACTCAAGGTGCGAGCGTACTTGTGCCTCGTACAGGATCTTGCAACCCCTACTGTCAAGCAGATGGGAGATATGGCGAAGTGCTGTAAGCTTCCTGGCTGCCTTGTTTGCAAGATTTACAACATGGTTCTTCATGGTTAGTTTGGAGTCAAATTTCACCCCAAGGATATCAACTTCTTCTCCAGGTGCCAACATCCTCCCATTCATCCTTACTACTGCACCAGCATTACCATCATGGTGCCTAGAGACAATCATCATTTGCGTTTTCTCAGGTGCAAATGTTACTTGCCATCTATTTCCCCAAGCTGATATAGCTCTCAGCTGGTGATTGATGTAGCTTAGAGCAGCTGGCATTTCTTCTCTTGGATAAGTGAATGTCGGTGTACAGTCGTCTGCATATGCATGTGATTCTGGGATGAGATGAAGAAGGTCGTTGAAGTAGACATTCCATAACAGTGGACCCAGCACACTTCCTTGTGGAACGCTTGCCCCAATAGGATGCCTTGCTGATTCCGTTCCATTGAGGACTACACTTAGAGATCTACCATGAAGGTAATCACTGAGGAGACATAGCGTAGAGCCTGCAATTCCCAGTGCTTGAAGTTTTGCTAAGAGGCCCTGGTGCCACACCCGGTCGAAAGCGCCAGCAATGTCCAGTGCTACCACACAGCTGACTTTGGATTCATCCAGTGACTGGTGCCACTTAGTGGAGAGGTTTAACAACAGATCAGCAGCAGAGTAACCTTTCCTGAAGCCATATTGACGATCACAAAGTAGTGAGTGGTAGTCAAAAAAATCTGTCATTTGTCTTGAGATTATTGTCTCAAGGATCTTACCAGTGATTGACAGGAGTGACACTGGTCTGTAGTTGCTGATTTCTGCTCTGCTCTTCTTTTTGTGAACAGGGACTACATTTGCCTCTTTCCATGGAGAGGGCCATTTGCACTGTACTAGGCAGTGCTGAAAGATGCGAGTTAGAGGTGCTGCTAGCTCGTCTGCACATCTTCTCAACAATCTTGGGCTCAACTTGTCTGGGCCCACAGCCTTTTCCTGGTCAAGTGATTTAAGAAGGAAATGCACCTCCTCCTGCCTTATTGTCACCACTGACAGTTTTGACACAGTTCTTGCAGCTAGCCAAGGAGGGTCCCTTGCTGGATCAGGAACTTGCATTTTGGTAGCAAAGTGTTCAGCAAAGAGGTCCGCCTTCTCTTGACTACTAGTAAAGGTGGTCCCATCCTGTCGATTTAGAGGTGGAATAAGTTCATCAGGCAGATAACCTTGTCTGTCCTTGACCAGGGACCACCAGGTTTTGGAGCCTACCCTACCTGATGCTAACTTTCTTTTAGTGTCCACCTCCCATTTAGCAATGTCTGTCTGTCTGTCTCTCTCTCTCTCTCTCTCTCTCTCTCTCTCTCTCTCTCTCTCTCTCTCTCTCTCTCTCTCTCTCTCTCTCTGTCTCTCTCTCTCTCTGTCTCTCTCTCTCTCTGTTCTCTCTCTGTCTCTCTTCTGTCTCTCTCTCTCTTCTCTCTCTCTCTGTCTCTCCTCTCTCTCTCTCTCTCTCCTGCTCTCCTCTCTCTCTGTCTCTCTCTCTGCTCTCTCTCTCTCTGTCTCTCTCTCTCTCTGTCTCTCTCTCTCCTGTCTCTCTTCTCTGTCTCTCTCTCTCTCTGTCTCTCTCTCTCTCTGTCTCTCTCTCTCTCTCTCTCTCTCTCTCACTCCTTCTCTCTCACTCTCTCTCTCTCTCTCTGTCTCTCTCTCTCTCTGTCTCTCTCTCTCTCTGTCTCTCTCTCTCTCTCTGTCTTCTCTCTCTGTCCTCTCTCTCTCTGTCTCTCTTCTCTCTGTTCTTCTTGCCCTCTGTCTCTTCTCTGTCTCTCCTGTCTCTGTCTCGTCATCTCTCAGTGACTCTTTCTTCTTCTTACTGTTCCTCTCCTCTGGTGGATGTGTGTCATTCCTCATGTCAACACTGCAGAATAATACTCCATGCACATCATAGACAAAAATAATACCAATCATTTAGTCACTGGCAAGACAGTGATTGAACAAGAGAGTGAAAGTGTTTCTTCTTTTTTGAGTTGCCCTGCCTTGGTGGGAGGTTGGCATTATATTAAAAGAGACAAACCTGATAGATTAGGTATGTAATATATTCATCAAGCTGAAAAGCATGGAATTCATCTGTCTTACATGTGCCGCTCAAATTTACTAAACTACCTAAACTATAAATAAAATCGACTTGACATAGAGTGCTAGAGAATAAATAATGCATTACTGGATTTATCATTTGATGAGGCACATGGTATTTGCTTAACTTTATATCCAACATTTCTAGTACGATTTAGTCATTTCTTAAAATATGGCAAGATTGTAATAGCGATACGTATTGCACTTGTCGAACAAAGGTTTCGAATCCACTTGCAAGCTGGACAGTGTGCTGTTCACTATCTTTCTGGCCCAGTAAGATTTGTCCAACTACATTTATTTCTGTACATATGGATAAGTGTGAATAGAATTACACCTGGTTGGACAAATCTTATTAGACCAGTAAGGTACAGTGAGTAGCACACTGGCCTGCTAGTTTTAGGACTGGCTTGCATCTGGGTTCAAACCCTTAGTTCGATGAGTACAATATGCATTGCTATTTTACAGTCTTGTTGTATTTTAAGAAGTGACTAAATCATACTAGAAATGCTGGATATAAAGTCAGGCAAATTCCATGAGACTAATTAATTGATTAATCCAGTAATGCATTATTTCTCCTTTGGCATTCTGTCATATCATGTCAACTTCTATTTTTTTTTTTGTCATAGATTCGAACCCTCTGTTTACTGAGTTGCTTACTATTGTCATTATGATTTCACAAGTCACTGGTAATATATATGTCACTGTATGTCAATTAATAGGTTTCTCTTCAAATTAAACTTATTGTACTGGAAAGGTGCAAAAGGGATTTTAGGGTAAAGCTTGAGCATCCAGTAGATGTGTGAGCGTGGTTGTTTGGAATGACTGTAGACAGATAGTTTTTGAGAACTGATGTGCTGTTAGAGTACTCAAGATAACATTTATGAATGGATTTAGGAAAACCAGATAAGTGGACTCATGCTCTCTGGAGGTGGGAAGTACAGTGCCTGCACCTTGAAGGATGGATGGGGATGTTGCAGTTTAACAAATCATTTGATGTGTGATGTCTGCAAACTTCCCCAAAAACTTCTGCAGAATGAGTGATGATGTTTTATTAACTGGGAGGTATCCTGGTCAGACACATTAAAGCTGAAATACCTCTGCAGATGTTTTCTAGTATCATGATATTAATTTCTTATGATGCTACAAATTATGGAAAGTAATAAACAGAAAATAAAGGAGCGTGAGCACCATATCATTTATGGGAGGGATTTAGGAGAAACTGATTAAACGGTGGAGGTGGAAAGTTCATTTGCTACACTGTGCTTCTCACTTGGAATTCAGAGGGTTATCTGAGCCATGCTGTCTATGACATGGTCTGAACTAGTGATAATATTCAGAATTATATTTTATGGGTAAATTAGGAAGGGTGGGGGTGTGACAGTCAACGGGTTATCTGATTGTAATGTGAAAGGTGGTGATTGAATGAATGATGGTGAATGTATTTTTTTCTTTAGTTCACCCTACTATGGCAGCAGACAGCCATTGAGTTAAAAAAAAAAAAGCAAATTGTTTAACTGTCTTCAAATTGATGATGATTACAGCAAATTAATAATTTTAGGAACATTTATGTTTAAAGCATTGAATAAGCAAAAAGATCTTGTGCTTTATCAACTATAAAACTGCCTTTTCCCGTGAAACTAGGATATGGTTTATAGGTATTGTCTTAAGTCCTGTTTTTACGATACTAAATTTTTGTAAATATTCAATATTCTTCAGCATTTGCTTTTTTCTTATACACTGGCCATCTCTTAGCATTAAAGGGTGACACGTTGATCCACTATTTCTCTCCCCCTCCATCTGCAATATGATTCACCTGGTCTTTTTATTTCCAAATACTGTATCTTAACACATGTACTTGCTCCATACTCCACCCTCCTGTCTATTATCAAATCATTCATTGCTTAGAGTTTTTTGTTATTCTCATCACCTTATTCTTTCCTGTGTTCATGTTAAATTTCCTTCTTTTAGATACTTTCCCAGTTTCATTCACTTCTTGTATTTATTTGTGGTTAACGTACAATTTTTTCTGCATTAAGATGGAACAGGTTGTTAAGGAAGAGCGGAAAGAGGAGGATGACAATGATGAGGAGGATAACAATGATGAGGAGGATGACAATGATGAGGAAGATGACAACGATGAGGATGAAGAAGATGACAATGATGAAGATGGTGTAGGAGATGATGATCAAGATGAGGATGAAGATGAAATGGATGATGATGAGGAAGATGGAGATAGTGATGATGATTAACAAATTAATGTAGACAATAAAGGTGATAATAAGGAAGAGAATGAAAAGACAATGGGTGAGATGATAATTATCATGCCAGATAATTTTTTTTTATTTTGGTCTGTAATATATCACTCTTGATTATTTAAAAAAATTGCAGTTGAATGCAAAGTTGTTAATGAATTTTTAAGGTAAAATAAATAATAAAATAGCACATTTTCAGTCAAGCATTCATTCACTGAGGCTTTGCAGTGTGAATTCATGGCTGGAATAAATGTACATGCTTCACACTTGACCTGTCATAGACCATCTATAAATAACAGGTTTCTATGACTGTGATATCAGTTAAAGTAGTAGTGATTTTCTACACGATAATATATGCATAATATGTATGCTTAAAACTGAGGAGCCAATAATGCACAGAGCATTTTAAACAAAACTGAAGGTGCCTGAAAATAAGGATGGTAAAAAAGTGTAGCTAAGAAGTGTGAAATTCGTATAGAAAGGACAAAATTCTGTACTATAGGGAAAACTTAGGATTACAATAGTGTTATATGTCAAAACTGTTTGAAAATGTGTTTCGAAACTAATTTTTAATAATTATTGGTGTATTCTTAATGACTGTACTTCTGTTGCATAATATAATGACTAGTAATGATACAGCACATTAGAAAATAATTATTTAACTTTATCATATAGAAGAATGTATATAAATTGGTTACATTGAGCAATTGTAGGTATTTGTATCAGAATGTCCTTAATTACACTGTACCTTAAGATTAAACAATAATATTTGCTAAATTGTTGATTAAAGCATTTGCAAAAAACAATATAATGAAATGTGATAATATTAATGATTATATAATAGATAATACAGTAGTTACAAATAAACATACTGTACATATAAATGTTTAATCATTCCATTACCTAAAAACAAGCATAGAGCCAATAAGGCATTTAAATTATTGGGAATGCCTCGGTCCTAAATATATACTCACTGAAGCAAAGAAGAGAGGTACATGATAATATATGTGTGGAAGGTGCTTGAGGGTGTGGGTGCAAATCTACACTGTTATAACATACTGGAGAGATATGGATGGATGTAAAATAAACCCAGAGAAAAATGGGCACTGTGGGCACGAGAATATTGCATCAGCATCCATGGGCCCAGACTGTTTAACACACTGTGACAAGATATCAGAAACATTGCTGGAATGAGTGTAGAAGTTTTCAAGAGGAAATTGAACATGTACCTCCACATTTCTTAACTACATTTTATAAAACTGACAACCTACCTTTTCCACCCTCTACTCGTGTTACTTTTTGAAGTTAATAGTAATTTTAAATGTACCATTTTCTGATCACGACTGGTTGTGAACAAAGCTTCTCCATCTATGCTATACTTTGAACGTATTTCTACTTTAAAAATTTTGTTAGTATATTTTTACCAATCTGTATACTGTACTGTAGTTCCTTAATTCTGCCACTCCTTTGCCAGCCACTTTCTTGGTGGGGCAAGGGGAAGGGGACACTGTTTGCTTTGTCAGTGCCATGAGACATATTAGCTTGTGTATTTCACACAGGGATGCCATGACTTGGACAAAAAGGTTCCCATTATATTTGCATTCATGGAAACCCATTTTTTTTTTCTTTACTGGAAGCTTGGTTAGGTCTACCCCTGAGCTCCATTCAAAGGGAGTACCATGATGAGAGGCTCTTGATCCAAGGAGTTTGAGCTCTACTTGGATTGAACCCAATTATCTCCTATTTCCCAGGATCTGTACACTTTCTGTACTTCCTCATAAAAGTAATAATGTCCCCAAAACTGCAGTCTCGTTGGCCATGTTCTTCGATGACCAAGGGGATTGCTTTGCTGCCGAAGGATTCTTGATCCAAGGAATTAGAGATAAATTTTGTTCCCTTGGGTCAAACCTAATTGCCTCCCATTCACCACTCGTTGGATAATGCTTACGGATTTAGCACTCCCATGAATAGTAATAATTAACATTGCCAGTCAAGGATTCTGGATTCAAGGAATTTGAGTTTCTCTCTTTCTTGGATTTAACTTGATTTCCTCTCATTCTTCAAATGCTGTATGACCCTTATGGGGTTAGCACTTCCCTATGGCCCTTAATTAAGAGTTGATTACTTACCACTGAATATAATTAGTAATTCACTTGGGTGCCTTCATGCAACTGGAGCTACCATTTGTTTTTTTTTATTATCACACTGGCCGATTCCCACCAAGGCAGGGTGGCCCGAAAAAGAAAAACTTTCACCATCATTCACTCCATCACTGTCTTGCCAGAAGGGTGCTTTACACTACAGTTTTTAAACTGCAACATTAACACCCCTCCTTCAGAGTGCAGGCACTGTACTTCCCATCTCCAGGACTCAAGTCCGGCCTGCCGGTTTCCCTGAACCCCTTCATAAATGTTACTTTGCTCACACTCCAACAGCACGTCAAGTATTAAAAACCATTTGTCTCCATTCACTCCTATCAAACACGCTCATGCATGCCTGCTGGAAGTCCAAGCCCCTCGCACACAAAACCTCCTTTACCCCCTCCCTCCAACCTTTCCTAGGCTGACCCCTACCCCGCCTTCCTACCATTTAATCAAACTTTATTACCCAAGTGCTGTATGACCCTTAGAGGTTTAACATTTCCCTTAGAATTTATTGTGATTTCATTCAGAGGAGAAAAGTGACGATGCTAGTGAAGGGATTTTGATCCAGGGTCTTGAATTTATCCTCCCTTAACTTGGATTGAACCTGAATGCCTCCTGTTCTCTAGATGCTATATGATCTTTATGGATTAAGTATTTTCCCATGATTAAAATAGATAAATGGAGCTACCCATCCTTTGGCTCAACCCTGATTGCTTCCTATTGGCCAATCACGATTTTTACAGGTGCTTTCCATAAATATCGAAGATGTATGACCCTTGTAGGTTTAGCGCTTCTTTTTGATTATAATAAAAAAAAATCCATAAATACAGAAACAACTGCTTGACTATGCAGGGATCTGGAGAAATGAACTCACCTCAAGGAAGGTTCCATGATGCTGGTGAGGGGCTCTTGATCTAGGCCCCTCAAGGAAGGTTCCATGATGCTGGTGAGGGGCTCTTGATCTAGGTCCCTCAAGGAAGGTTCCATGATGCTGGTGAGGGACTCCTCATCTAGGCCCCTCAAGGAAGGTTCCTTGATGCTGGGGAGGGCTATTGATATAGGGAATTGGATCTGTGCACCGGTTCCCTGAATGCCCTCCCCCCCATGTGTGCTGTATAATCCTATGGGTTTAGCACTCCCCCATTATTATAATAACAATGGAGAAATGAACCTGCAATTCAGAACATTTTTCATCATAGGAAGAGGCCGGACTCCCTGATGCTAGTGAAGTGCTCTTCCACCAAAGAATTTGAGCTACTCTTCCCTTTTGGGTTTAGTGTTGCAATGCTGTATGACCCTTGTAGGTTTAGCGCTTTTTTATTATAATAATACTGTAATGGGTTTAGTGCTTAAATTCATAATGATAATCCCATTCCATTACTCAAGCTTGCTTACCTAATGTTCCAAGTGATGTATTACCTCAGTGGGTTGAGCATTTTCCTGTGAACTGCAGATAAAGACCACAAAACCAGCAAGTACAGTGTATTTAAAGCTCAGACAACTATACTGAGGACCAAGTTCAGCAGTGTAACGCACATCTATGTGTAATTTGGTATTTGCTAGTTTTATATTTATTAATCTTTAAGGTTAGGATTACCATTAAAAAGAATATCACTGTTGTTGCTGAGATAATCTCCAGTCATTGGAGTACAACTACCAGTTGAGAGTAAGTATATAGTTATAATATACTGTACCATATTTTTCATGAAATACGAGATATCTCTGTTTTTGGATCAAATCTAATTACCCTCCATTTACCAGGTGATGAATAACCACTATGAGTTAGTTCTTCCTTGAAGCTGGTGAGGGATTCATGATGCAAGGAACTAGACATGGGTATGGGGTGCATAATAAACATATTAAACTAAAAAAGACCTGTTCTTTGCTTCTTTGGGTTGAACCTGGTTGTTTTCCATTTACCCAGGCACTATATGACCCTCATGGGTTTAGCACTTAAATTGCTTATGCATATTATTTTATTTCTATATCACCCTTGATTTATTATGTGTCTTTAGATCAAAAGTACTGTATAAACCTGACAAGTTAATGAATAAGACAGGTTCAACACACAAGTACCTTTACTGAAAGAGACTGGCCACCAGGGACTTTACCAATCTAATTACCGTATTTCTCAGCTTATTAGATGCATTATTTCCATAAAATGTCTCCAAAAACCAGCCTGCGTCCTATAAACTGAAGGTCAGTGACGGGAGCTATAAGTTTGGGGTGTGGGATGGGCTGTAGCTCTCTCAGTTACGTCCCAAGCCGAGCCATTGAAACTAACACAAGTCTTATAAGCCGCGAAATACGGTATCATAATTATAATCATAACTAAGCGCTGAACCCACAAGGGTCATACAACACTGCAGGATAGGGAATATAACACAGGTGGAGTTAGTTAACATTATAATACAGATACATGATTTGTATCCCTTAAGGGTTTAGCGCTTTCTTTGATAATAATAATAGTAATAATAATAATAATAATGACAATAATAATCCCTTGAGGAAGGTTCCTTGAATTTCTTTCATCAGTACCTATACTGGTTTAGCGCTTGTTGATAATAAACTTGAAGGTGTCGAGTCACAGCTCCTGGCCCAGAGTGTTTGACAACCTTGTTGCTAAGAACCACTCTTAACAGTCTTGCTGTTTGTGTGAGTACCTTGATGATGCTGAAGGGCTCTAGATCCAAGAAACGGAGAGCTACCCTCATTTTACTACAATAACACTTTATAGTATAACATTCCCTAGATGCTATGAAAACCTTTTAGGTCAGAGAAGGTCAGCTGGAGGCTGACCTTCCCCGAGGTTGTTTTGCATATAATATATATGCATGCAGGTAGGGGATGTGTAGATCAAGTGTTTACATTGAAGCATATATGTGAACAGTATTTAGATAAAGGTAGGGAAGTTTTTATTGCATTTATGGATTTAGAAAAGGCATATGATAGAGTGGATAGAGGAGCAATGTGGCAGATGTTGCAAGTATATGGAATAGGTGGTAAGTTACTAAATGCTGTTAAGAGTTTTTATGAGGATAGTGAGGCTCAGGTTAGGGTATGAAGAAGAGAGGAAGAATACTTCGTGGTAAAAGTAGGTCTTAGACAGGGATGTGTAATGTCACAATGGTTGTTTAATATATTTATAGATGGGGTTGTAAAAGAAGTAAATGCTAGGGTGTTTGGGAGAGGGGTGGGATTAAATTATGGGGAATCAAATACAAAATGGGAATTGACACAGTTGCTTTTTGCTGATGATACTGTGCTTATGGGAGATTCTAAAGAAAAATTGCAAAGGTTAGTGGATGAGTTTGGGAGTGTGTGTAAAGGTAGAAAGTTGAAAGTGAACATAGAAAAGAGTAAGGTGATGAGGGTATCAAATGATTTAGATAAAGAAAAATTGGATATCAAATTGGGGAGGAGGAGTATGGAAGAAGTGAATGTTTTCAGATACTTGGGAGTTGACGTGTCGGCGGATGGATTTATGAAGGATGAGGTTAATCATAGAATTGATGAGGGAAAAAAGGTGAGTGGTGCGTTGAGGTATATGTGGAGTCAAAAAACGCTATCTATGGAGGCAAAGAAGGGAATATATGAAAGTATAGTGGTACCAACACTCTTATATGGATGTGAAGCTTGGGTGGTAAATGCAGCAGCGAGGAGATGGTTGGAGGCAGTGGAGATGTCCTGTCTAAGGGCAATGTGTGGTGTAAATATTATGCAGAAAATTCGGAGTGTGG